CGGCGTTAGGCTGGATGAGCCGGTCGGGAGGAATGATGGGAGGGTCAGGGTGCTGGATCAGAGTGGGGAGGGGGAGGGGGAGGGTCAGGTTCAGGGAGATGAGGGTGAAGGGGAGGGGAAGGAGGAGATGAAGAGGTTGTTTGAGTGCCAGCCCGGCTTTGGCGTGGTGGTTCGGCCGGAGAAGGTGGAGGTTGGGGAGGAGTGGACGCCGCTGGATGATTTGGGTTCGGATATGGATGATGAGGAGGAGGAGTTGTGATGGAAATGAAAAGACGTTCTTCAACTATTTTCCTCTGAGCGTCCGTCTCCTGAGATGGGATTCCTCATGGCCGACTATCGCCGAGAGAGAACGAAACCCTTTAGACAGCTGACCAGTTCCAGTTCCCTTTCCCTCAGCCCTAACTCGAACAGCTCCATATAACTAACCTCTCTCGTGGCGGCACTCAGCTACATATATATATACACACCAACAAGACATCGTCCAATCATCATTCAAAACACCTCATGCCCTCTCTTCACGTTCCTCCTCCCTCGCACCCCCGTACTCGCGCTCTCCTCGACCTTGCCCTGCACAGATCTCGTCAGCCAACCACCTCAGCCTGAAAAAAAAAGGCATATCATACACATCTCACCACCACCGTGCCCACCAGCTGCACCAGCACCCACCACCTCGACTTCAAACCCTCCTCTCAACCGCCACCCCGCTCTTCTTGACCGTGATAAACAACAACGGCGGGCCCCTCTCCCTCTTCTTCCTCCTGCCTAAACTCAAACCCGATATCCCGAGCTCTACCACTGTAGAGGGACAAACCCCCGAAGCGTCAGGCTTGGCGCCTTCTTCTCCTTTATCATCATCAATCTCATCGTCGGTCGTAGTAGCAGTATATATTACAACGATTGCAGCGCGGATGGTCGAGATGGGCCATGACGAAGATTGCGGCATCTATTGATCATCCATGCTCTCTTTTTGACCTGGATTTTTTTTTCGTGGATCCCAGATGGGAGAATGAGGGTAAAAGGGGACTAAGAGAGGATGGGGATATGGGGGATGCGACTATTGGCTTCTCATTTTTTGCTCTTTCTTCTCTCTTTTCACGTTTATCTATCTATCTATCGATTTATTAATTTGGGACAGAGAAGGGTTCCGGTGCAGTATTCTGTTATGGAGATTTTTTGTATGGCTGTTGTGTTTGTTGGAGGAGCTGGAAATGTCGTTGAGGAAGGAAAAAAGTGGGGGATGGTTTTGCTGATGATGGTGGGCGGGATGACGGAGGCATGCTTATAGGGGGGCAAGCAAAGAGCTTTTGCATATTGGATCCTGGTATCAAAGGTTCTGCTGGGAAAGGATGAGATGCATTCGGGTTGTGATAGTGTGTGTGCTGCGAGTAAAGGAGCTTGTAACTAACTACGCCTCAGGTGCTCACCGGACATGAGTATTGGCGTCTGTTGACGGGATTAGCCAAAGTAGACGTTTTAAGCGGGTGTGATGCCACGACAACGGAAAGGTGCTCTGCAGAAGCAACCCCGACAAAGTCCAAGAGACTGCCTTGGAGAGCCGGTCTCAAGAGCTTTGCAATAGTAGAGAGCTTGATGTACTCGTAGGAGCCGCAAAGCGAAACTCTTAATACTATCAGTTGATATCGATAGGAGCGCCCGGCTAAGTACAAGAAGAATCAACAGCTGGACGTGTCGCAACCATAGACACATGTGGTTATGCTTTGCCATCGACTATCTCCCATCTCCCATCTCCCACTTATCGACTGCTTCTCCATGGCATGAGGCGTTCTTCACGCCACCGACCGGAGAAGGGCAGAGACTTCTTGTCATCATCCATCTGCCACGAGACAGGTGCCAAGACTGGCGTATTTGCGCCATTGACGGTGGTTTGTGGTTGCTGAGTAGACGTTGGAAGAATTGATCATCTTCGAATTGAGCGGATGGGAGGGACACAAGGCTTAAAGGCTTACTGTGGCTGGTTCCCCATTTCACCTGTGCATCCTCTTTACCTGCGGAGAAGGCGGCCACGTACCCACCTCGAAAGGGACTTCATGTGTACTGCCTGCTTGATGCTCATCGAGCTATTTCCCGTGGTCGAAAAGCCTCGATCTGGCTAAGCTTAAAATGTGCACCAGGCTTGTAGATGAGTGGCCAAAGCATTTAAAATGAGTACCATATTTCGAGCTCAAGAGGCCTGGGATCATCAGACGAGTCTCCCCTATAAGGTTATGCCTCGTCGAAGGAACAGATACTGATCTGCAGGATATTAAAACTCATCCTACCCGGTATCTACCGGGACAACCGCTCTCGTGAGTCTCGGAACTCGTGCATGACTGTGATGGAAGTCTGGTTATCAACGGTAAGGAAGGGTCTAGGTGTGTACAGCTTCTTAGATTTACTCTCCTTCCCATCCTGGTGGAGGCCCGAATTTGTAGATCTGATGTATCGCAAGGACGCTCTTGGTCTGGTCGTGTTTGGACACTAGTTTGAGCCAACATAACACTCGTCGTTTCGGGGGGGCAGGGGCTTGAGGCAGTGCGTTCCGGGTGTCTCGCCATCCATTCCAGTCTGGATGATCATCTGGACATCGTCAAACGGGACTCGCTCTGGTTTCCGAGAAGCAAGCGGGCGTGGTTGGACGTGTCTGGGTCTGGGAGTAAGGTCCTAGGTCTAATCGCCTACTGGGTAGGCCTGCATCTTGTTGGTGGACGTTTCGGGTAAGTGAGATCGGATTGGCATACTTCATCTGCTGTCCTTTACGACTCTCTTCATCTGCTGTTACCTCATCAGGATGACGATTCATGCTCTTCCTCTCCAATCTTTCCTCTTCCTCATGAAATGCTAGCCAGCTGCGTGGTGCTCTACATGCACGACCAATCACAGCCAATGAGGAGCATGGCAAGTTAGTGCTAGAAGAATTCAACCAGTAGATTTGTAGGAAGCTTGAATTCAGGGTTACCCTTGTAGCTGGAATTGCGAGAAGCTGCGTCTTAATCAGATATCGCGGTCATCAACTTGATCGTGATCCGCACCAGAGAGGCGTGCTGCTGGTCTTGGAGTTTAGTCGTGAAAAATCTGTATATCAGCGCGGAGTAAGAGAGAATTGAATCTGGTAAGGCTGAGAGATACTGCGAGGCCTGCAGAGATTGTACACGTCACATCAACCTGAAAGGCCTAACTTAGAGAATTAAGATAGAAAACGCGAAACCCATGCTTTTCAAGAAGGTGAAGGCCGCAACTGGTGGCTGTAAACATCTCCAAGGAAGAAAGACACGGCAAACGTAGCCGAACTTTTGCAAAAGACTGTGCAGAGTGTACGCGCTTCTATGGGTATGGAGAGCTAGATTGCATGGTCTTGAGGAGTCATGTTGTTGAAGGCGTCGTTGCTCTGGGTCGGTTACGAGAAGGATGTTCAGCCATGGCAAGACATTAGGTGATTTCCCATGCATGTTTCAGCAGGGTTGGGAATCTGTCGCTGTTCCTAGCGACGCGGGCAGAACGAGGGCAGCCAGCGCATTTCCTAGAATCACAACATGCGTTGGGGTCGTATTTCTGGATTCAAGACGTGTGCACCTCGCATATGATAAGCATCCATACAGCAAACTTCATAGGTGTTGACGAAATCATGCGGAAATATGTTCTTTGCAATGGCGAAAACTCATTTCCTGCATTCATACGCCATTGGTCTTTGTGCATGGCGAAGCCGTCAAGGGTGCCGGTCTCCAAAGAAGTGATAAGGCTGGAAAACGTCAAGTTCTCTTTTCGCTGAAAGTCTATGGACAAACACGGTGAATGAAGCGTGTCTTGGATATCAGAACGGCTTTTCGATGGTTCACAAACATGCTGTGGAAGGAGTCAGTTGAATCCCCGATGAGCCTTGAAGCACTCCGGAAGCGGCTCGTCTCGGAGAGCCACTTTCCCATACACAGATAATGAAATTCCCACGAAGGACTGGTCAAGGTGGATTCTCGGAGCCTCGGCCTATCATCAACCACGGAACAAAGCGTACTTTGTGTTAGCCAAGATGCGCCAGTTCCTGGTCCTTGTTTGGATCGGATAACAAGATGAGGCGTGTTGCTCTGACCAATTGACTGCCCACAAGTTCTTGCAAAAGTCCACTCTTGAGGCGGAGGTTGTTCAAATGGGGATGTGGTGCAACAGAAGAACAGATCCTTCAATCTGGGATTTAATGTAGGTGAGGAACTACCGCCGTGTTGGGACATGCGAGGGACTTCCGGGTTGCTCGATCCGGTACCATTGTTCGCTGTCGTTGCTAATAAGGGGTTTGACCCCTGTAGCAGTTGAGGAGGTTTACGAAGACAAAACCTTGGGAAGCAAAGTGAGCGCAAGAAAACCTACCTGCGATCGTGATGAGATAATTGCAACCGTGGTAATTGGTGGATGATTGAAGGTTCATACATTGACAGCTGGCAGGCCGTCAGCCACGATGCGAGCAGCGGTAACGTCTACTACGTACATGTCAGGTGCTGACCGTGGCATCTCCTGAAGATCATCCAGCGGGTGGGTAGGCCACGTAACTTTGGTCTTCAAAGTTTGGTTATGCAAGCAGGGAAGTAACAATCGATCTATTAACCTCCCAGTGTGGATGGGGACCGACGAGGTTCTTAGGGCCGCGGGGAGGCTATCCGCTTGTTTGCCGGCTACATCCATACATCCATCTGGGGCGCCGCAAAGGTTTCTCTTCCGATGCGCCGCAGAAGGGTGTTGAGTGTAGCTTCCCCATCAACACCGGCGTTGAGGAGAGAATGCCAGAGAACGCCGGATGGAACGACGGCAGTTCTGAAGGCTGGAGAATCAAGATTGCTGGATCCAAGGGTAAAGTTGAGGCGTGGGTCGGGATCGTGCAGTTGGCGCAGAGTGTTCGTGCAACGGATTTGCAGGCCCGTCCAGGTCCGGTGGAGTTAGCTAACTCGCTTCAAATTGCTCACCGCTAAAGCCTGGAAAGTTCGTTTTTCAGGCAACGTCCCGAACCCTTGCTGCATCTCCATCATCTGTCCATGCACCATATCAAACCGAGTGTTTGTCTCAGAAGGACGGTCGTGAAGACGGCCGCGAAATTGCTTGACTGTCCTGTCTGACAGAATGAACAGGTGTCAAGAAAGAAATGGTGTAGCGGCGGCAGCGGTGCCCAAGCAGGATAATCTTAATACTGCTATATTTGATGATTTGATTATTGGATTGTCTGACTAACCTATAACTTGCCGGGGCTTACAAAGGCTCCTTGAAACGTGGCCGATTTCATAACCACGCCTCTGGGGCCTCTTGCAGCCTTAGCGTGTCCGGAAAAGCGACCCTAAAGGGTGAGGCGCACATAGTAAGACCTAAAGCCTTAGATCACATTGTCAGCCATCACTTGTGGACAAAGAAATTTTGCCATCAGAATAGACTTCTGGACCGGTTCATAATAGGTTCTGGGGATGTTACTGATGGACTAGCGGTGACTTCACCGACATTGGGTTGGAACTTGGTCAGCATTATTCTGGGCCTCGCTACCGCTGACGCTGACTGCAATGTGCCAGTGTGCCAGTGTGCCAATGTTGGTAGGAGTCACGCTACCCAATCTTTTGTTGTAGCTACAGAGGAGATTTTGCATGAAGCGGCAGGTCCTACATTCGCGTACAGATACAGATTGCGATGCAGTTGGTGGGTGAAGGATCTTTGGTTGATTGCCCACCGGCCCATGACTTGGCCCGTAGCCGGCGCAGGCTGACTTGTTGACACAATCAAATTATATCCATAGTGCGGCCAGGCGGCCGACCCAGCTGCACGGCCCCCAACAGCCGACAAATAATTCATTGTTGGTCCTTAGCCGTGGAGTCAATATCAAGATGCTTCTTACGGCCAGCCACCGCCTGGTAAGGAGAATGGTGCAGAAACGCACCTTAGGTCCTAGCTTGGTGGCAGCATGCGGCCAGGTCTGAAGAATATAGATTCGTCATATGAGATTATTCTGATTGATAGCCTCGTCCTTTTGGCGATTTGACCATCCAAATTCGGGCTGCAGATGACAACTCATGCAGTGAGGACAAGCTAATCAAAAGGGCAGGCTCCAAACGGGCAACAACCCAACAAACAAACGACCAGGAATTAAGGAGGTGATGCCGTAAACGTTAAGCAATGCGATTAGTCGTGGCGTTAAGCGCAGTCGCTCAGAGGGGTTTTTGAAATGTCTCCTGTTGGTGGCTAATGTGGGTTGAGCCGTGTCGTAGCGTGACGAGACCGGCATGAACTCTACTACAGTAGGAGATCATGAAGCAGCCCCTAGTCTGCGCCTTCCAGCAGGAAAATAATAGCGCCGCATATGATATCAGTGCCAGATGTTGCATGACTGCTTCCTAGGGCTGTCAACCACTACCAACTAAAACTGTATCCATTCTGGAAATGCAGCAGTTTTTCGGGCGAGCATGATTCCTTGCCGCCTGGCGTGCAAATGAAATTGAGCTGGCCGGGTCGATGATTGCTGCAATTGGCCATGGCCAGTCTCCCCGTTGGCTGGATTTTGGCTCCACTGAAACGATAGGATTGACCGACTTTCGTGGCGAGCTTGTTTATAGTTTCGTTCGCTTGCTCTTTGTGCCCTGTGCTTCGTTGAATTATGTATCACTGTGACATACATTTTGTCCCATAACGGCCAGGCCCTTCGAACATCCTGATAGCGTCTCGTGTGAGACCGTTGTCTGCCTTCCTGCTCCTCCAGAATCTTCCTTGGGCAGTGGCGTGGGATTCTCCTTCGAGGCTGCACATATGCTCTGCAAGTGGCACAGTCCTCCGAGTGCGTCACTTTGCTTTCGCTCACATCCGGACAAAGTGGATATCTCACTACTCCTCAAGCCAAAGGATGAAGAGGAAGCCCGGTCGACCACCTCGGCACCTGCTTCATCACGTTCTGCATCAGTGCCTACCCCAGTGGCAGCATCAACCACGACAGAGTCAACTCCACTATCAGCAGGCGGCAGTGTACCGACAAAGAGACAACAAGGCATACATCCGTCCGAATCACCCGCCAAAAAGCAATCCAAATGGTCCCCAGAAGAAGATGAAAAGATCATTCGACTCAGAGGAGATGCAATGAAATGGGAGGACATCAGCAAGCAACTGCCAGGAAGGAGTGCTATCAGTTGTCGTTTGCATTATCAGAACTATCTGGAGAGGAGGAGCGAGTGGGATGAAGACCGTAAAAACAAGCTCGCAAGGTTGTACGAAAGGTATGTGACGCACTGTGAGACAACCGGAGAAAGCATAAAGCTAAAAGGCGTCCACCAGATTCAAGCATCAGATGTGGGCACCAGTCGCCGAAGAGATGTCAATCCCCTGGAGAGCAGCGGAAGCCATGCACTGGCAACTTGGCGAGCAAGAGATGGCCAGACGCGCAGGTGTCACCCCGTTTTCATTGTCCAGCACAAGTAACACAGCAGCCCCAAACCTTCCGAGGTCACACACGCGCTCGTCAAGCGCTGCTCCACGAGCAAGACGAGAATCAGCGCCACGGGCATTACAGCCTCACCCACCCCAGCTTCCTTCGGTGGCCGAGTTGACGGCAGGCTTGCCAGCCTACTCCACTCATCCCCAGCCATACCAACAGTACAGGACGTCCCCCGATTATTTCCACCAACCTGGTGGGCCGCGAAGATAGAATGTATTTGTACATGATCCCAGGCATTGCCGCTAGCCTTTCGGGTTGCATAGCGTGGACCGGCGTTCCTTTTGCTTCGAAGAAGAAATAGAATGGTCCCCCACATCTCTGCAGCGTTTTACCGAAGCATATCCCAGATGTTGTTACGTTTTTAACGGCCGAAACCATTGTCATTGGTCTAGCGTTCAGCGATTCGAGCAGGGCAGCAGACTGCCCACCAATTGTCCTTTTCATACCCAGATTCTAGAATGACACCGCCAGCAGCGGCAATATCGTTTTCGAGCTCACCTTGTCGATAAAGATGGTAATATCTATTATATTTTCTGTCCTGTTCAGCCTCTCCTTTTGTACCCTCCTTTAGGACCCAGGGAACCATTACATCCTGAGCGTCTCCGGTGTCCCATCCACGGCGAGACGACTTCTGTTCAAGAGCCCAAACAAACAAGAGAAGCTTGCTGGGTGCTCTTTGAGCTTGGCCTCGTTTCAACAGCTTTAAGATCGATTTGATGGCTTCAATTCTCCGGGAATGAGTAGACAGGTGATGAACAACAGCAATGCAGATTGCAAAGTTGAAGGACGAAGGGGGATGGGGAAGACTCAGGGTATCTGCCACGATGTTTGAATGTGGCTGGCGATGCGCCGCGATCTTTGTGAGAGTTTGAGACCTGGTGCCGGCAATTTAGACAAGTGGCCATAAAGTCACATCAGTGCCCACCTATCAGAAGCAATGATGAATATATCTTGATTCACCGTCAAATACTTGCCATTACCACAACCAACATCCAATCCGACGGATCCAGGCTCCAGGTCTCTTAGAAAACTCTCAACGATGGGCCAGGGCTGAGAGATTCTCGTATCAGCTTGAGCGCAAATCCTACATCCTTGACCATGATAATTTGAGATTAAGTTAGTACTAACCTTGTGTCTTGTGGCCGAGAAATGGCCAGCAATCTGTTCGTAGACCTGGTGAACATGCTTTTCCTCATACTCATGCTCTTGACCTGCGACGCTCATTTTGGGGGGGGGGGGTTTGCAGGAGGTGTGGCTGCTTTCCATGTGCATGCAGGGAAAGATGGAAATGGTCAGCATCACACTGGCAGTTATAGGCCGGAGGGCCTTCGAACCCGCTAACCATTATTATATCTTGGCGTTTAGAGCTTCAGTCCTAGTACCTCGAACCTACCCAATATGGTGCAACCAATTTCCTGCTTCCACATGTGGACTCTCATAAGATCTATAATATGCCTACTTTCGCATCGCCAGTGCTGCTAGGACAACAATTTGACACCAGAAGATTTGGTCAATGTACCATGGCTAGTAACCGCACATTGGATATTGAGAGAGTACGCTATCATCGCCTTCGCCTACAGGAAGGTTGCAAGCCGAGCCACATCTATATTTTCAGTGACCCTCGAATACCCATATCTCATTTATCTTTACTAGGTTTATGCTTCAGTATCAATTCGTGCATCATCTCGATTTCTGTTGTATCCAGAGTGCCGAACGGATCATAAGTCTCGCTGGAAGCACCACTTCTAGTGCTTGAAGCATTCCTGCCCATGGCCGAAATTTGACCTGGAGCACGAGTAGTGTTGGTGCCGACGGGATTCGCATGCCTGGATGGCAGCATTCCCCCCCGCGTCTGACATGTCCCCTGGGCTTGCCTGCTCGATTGTTCTGCTGTCTTGGACAAGTCGGTGGCCTTTCTAGTTTCTGTTTTCGATGTCAACAACCTCTGGAGCTCCCTCTCAAAGATCTCCTTTCTCCCCTTTGGATCTTGTACTTCTGCTCGAACATCCCGGATGTGCGGGGCCGCAACATTCTGCGCCCCGGGGTTTGAAGTTTGCTGGGACCGGGGCACTAGCTTTGGGAGACTCTGTTGTGGGTTGCGCTCAGGCTGAGGCATGTTGTCGCTCACTTCCTCCTGTTGGCCCACAAGGGGATTGTAGAGCTCTCTCTGGCGTAGATAGAATGTGCTAACGGCCTGAGCGACCTCTCGTTGTGTTTGTGTTTGGGGTTCGATCTGCGAAGAAGGGGCCTTTCGATCATCGCCTGTTGATCTCCCTGTGTGTAATCTCGAAGTCGCCTGGTTGGGTTTCTGACAACTGTATTGGCCAGTTCTAGTACTCACACAGCGAGTCTGGGGTGAGTCAACGCTGGAAAAGGAGGACGATGCTGATGATGTCGTCGTTGAAAGGGGTGGTTGCTCGCTCCGGTCTCTTTTTCTTGGGCTTTGCTTTCCGGCTGGATGATGTCCGATAGGGTTAGACTGAGGAGATCCGGATGGCCCTCGAGATCCTGGCTTCATGTTATGTTCAGAGTTGTTAGGCAGTGCTATTTATTACCTTGGTGCGGCTTGAGCGTCACCTATGAATGACACAGAAATTCAGAGTGATTGTAGGGAAGAGTAATCTGAATATCAGATCTAAGGGGAAATGATCAAGAAACACCGAGATAGATATCTGTTTCTGATCTCTTCCTTGTAAGTACTAAGCATCCGTTCATGCTTGTTCCATGTCATGGTTCCTGAACCCTACTAGTAGTAGTAGTTGAATTCGGAACATTTACGGAGTACATACCTTTTGAGACTCCTTCTTAACCTTTTGGACAGCATTGAAAGGCATTGGCAACACGCTACCTATCCCAACGACTTTTTTGAGTCGTGCCGCTGCATATGTGGGGTACGGTGGAAGCCCAAGACAATGAATGTTCCATCCAGCATTTGCAATGCTTGTCGTCAAACATCTGCCGCGGGTGTTTCCCATTCTAATCTTGCATTACTAGGTTTGCAGCCGAGGGCCATCGGCCCCACCTGGAAGGAGTTTGGTATTTGCTGATAGAGAATATACAATGTCTGTAACATCGCATTCATACTAACTAGTGCAGATAGTTAATGCAAAGGGACTAGAACCAGACCTATGTATCAACTCGACAGGTGATTACAGCAGGTAGGCACTGCTATCTAGGATACTATTGGTATTACGGAGTACCATATGGGCTACTCCCTGCCATCCTCCGAGATCTAATCAAGGGACCAGCAACAATTTTGGACCTCGGCAGAGTAAGTTAGTTTAAGCATGCCCGCCAACACTGGCCAATCAATCAGCGAATGTGCTCCCAATGCCCCTGGACCAACCACTCCCCGTAACTATCACGGTCAGATGAACACCTAGGCCACGTCGTATAGGGCACCAAACATAGGCCATTGCTAGTTATAGTATTCTGAACTGATTGCAGAAAGGACCACAAGATGCGATAGCTCCAACGCCTACTTTGCATCGAGACTTCAACCACTGCGATCACGATGACTGCCTCTTCAACCCTTCGACACGCCCTATCAAATACAACCTTAATGATCTCAACTACAGCGTCTGCTCTGAGTTCAACAGCACTGGATCTTCCTTCAGCATACTCAAACTATGTTATCCACAACTCCTCCTCCGTCTCACAGATCGAATCCGCCCTTCGCTCTCTTACCTACCTTCTTCCCGGCTCCCGCCTCCATGACACCGAGCTAGCCTCCGAGTCCCTCCATACATTTGTCCAGCTTCTCTCCATATACCATGACAATCTTCTTGCCCGCGCATCGAAGCTCATGCCGGCAGCGCAAGCCGCTCTGAAGCAGAAGACATCCCCTCACGCGCGCTACACCAAGTTCTGGGCCAAGCGATCGGCCCTTTACAGGCAACTAGCAATCGCCCTCAAGGTTGCGCAATATACCGAATTGCTGTGGGAGATGGTTGCGCGCCGACGTTTAGGGGGTGATAAAGCCCGATGGCGCGTCGTCGTCTTACTGGAAAGTTTCAAGGCCGTGTGTAGGTTACTGCTCATGCGCCTGACCAATACAAGACCGCTGGTCAGCCCGCCACTACCGACGCGTGAAGACGTCGCTCCACCCGAGCTTCCTGTACTGAGTGAGGCAGACCCCCCGCTTGACTGGAATGGAATGTCGCCAGATCCTCTCGGTCCTCAAATAAGCATTGGTAGTGAGAGCCTAGGGAGCGGTAGATCCTGGATGATGCCGAGAACGAAACTTACGCTGCCAGACCTACCAGATCCAGATGCCATAACAAGCTACCTAGTTACCAAGGTCATCACACCTGATGACATCAAGCCAGCGAAGCAGCTGCTCCATAAGCTAGGCACACTTCAAGCTCAGCTCGCCGAGATCCTTTATATCCTCCGACCCGTTGTCTACGCGTTGCTGATGCAGCGATACGCTGCGCGATACGGGAAGAAGGGCGGTAAAGCGCAATGGACACCCTGGCTTGTGGGCATCAGTATTGAGTATCTCAGCCGACAGCTTGCGAAGCGTAGTCTGGAACGCAGGATCTCTGGAGGCGTGAGTACAGGCTTGACTGCGTTGGAAAGGGAGGAGCTGAAGAAGCGGGGGTGGGGAATGGGGTGGTGGGCTATGCGAGGGGCCTTCTACGAGAACGTGACAAAGAGTGTGGTAGATGGAGTGGTGGGAAGATTGAAGGGGAAGCCGCTGCTAGATCTTGTAGGAGGTGTAGTGGAAGATTATGGCTATCTCTGGGATGAGTATCACTTCAGTACTTCAACGATGTAAGCTTGGGGGCATGTTTGCTAGTACGCCAGGTCTTCTAGCGAGTCAACCGCTCACATTAATGTGCCTCTCCTGGCCTTCACTGAATATTGATCATGGCAGTAGGTACGTAGCCGAGTCAGTTTCCTGGCCGTGGGATGAGGTTCCAGATACGGAAATAACTTGAAGTGTCTGACGGGGCGCCGAGATCGTCTAAATCTGGCCAGATCGTAGCCCGAGGCCTATAGACAGAATTGGTGGCCGTCTGGGCAAAATCAAAAGCATCATAAAGATTGGGCTGTTCTAGGCCAACACTTGCACCTAGATAGTCCCATTTCTTGTGACAGATATGCAGGAGCCAAGACGGCCACCAATTCTGTCTATGGGCCTCGGGCCGAAGCTTGGCGCCAAAATTTACGGGAGTTCTCAGATCCCCTTCCTCTCCCCCCCTACTTCATTCCCCTATTTCTCTACCAATACTCACTCAAATTTAGGGAATAATGAGTTCTGAACAGGGAAATAGACGGCGCGTCTGCCGAAAGTCTTATTCGATAGATCCTCCTTCTCCTGCGGCCCCACGAACGCTAAAAACGATGCTTGATACCCCGCGCCGACGGGTAAGAGGGCGTTGGGACTGGAGCATCCCCATACGCTGGCCAGCATGGGCAACCTGGCGTCGACATTTTGGAATCAAGGGCGATGGAAGGAGGCCGAAGAGCTAGAGGTGCAAGTGATGGAGACGAGAAAGAGGGTGCTGGGGCAGGAGCATCCAGAGAACGTGCTATCCAAAGAAATATGAAGGATTTTGGCGTAGGGACTTATATAGCCGCGCAGAAAAAAATGCTCTTACAAACGCATATTGATGCTCGAATTATATAGGGATTTGAGCGTCGATATTAGCAATTAGATCAATTCAAGAAGTATCGATAGTGTGATAAGTCTCATTTTGCTACTTGCTTGCAACGACAGGCTCGAATTCATCATCGACCAGGGCTTGAAGCACGAAATGCTCTATCAAAGACCCAATTCAAGCTCAAGCGTCAAAATCAGTCAATCCATGTATACGCAATTATTGGATGGAATTTCAAGGGTCAGCTCCACTTCTACACCGGCTCCGGAGTAGGAGGACGTCTTATTCAGAGCGATTATATGACTATTTTGAAAGAAATCGTTGCTCCTGATTAGGATAAAGATTACGTATTAATCGAAGATAATGACGGGCCTCATGGTACCAAGGGCAAGGGTCCTAACAAGGTTAAAGCACTCAAGGACCTTCTAGGGATCAAATAAGAGATGAACCCTGCTAATTCGCCTGATCTCAACCCTATTGAGACAATCTGGAGAATAATAAAGCAGCGCTTGAAGTCCAGGGGGGTCATCTTCGAAGAAGCTGTTCTGCGCAGGGCTATCCAGGAGGAGTGGGATAAAATAACTCTGGATGAGATTAATAGGGCTATCTCAACAATGCCAGATAGAGTAGCTGCCCTAAATGAGTGAAATGGGCGTCCTATCCCCTATTAAAGGGGTGTGTAGCATAGCAGGAATCTGAGAACTCCCGTAAATTTTGGCGCCAAGCTTCGGGCCTCTCTTAGCTATAGAAAGCTGGACACGATTTGCGAATTTCCCTCTTCGACCTCACACCGCAATCATGCAAGGGCTTCTTACGTTGCGATATCTGCCTCCACCTTCAAGGCAACTGGTACCAAGGGCAGATCTGATCTACCTGACGCATCTACGCTGCCCTTGGGGCGCCTATGATAACACTGCAAAAGAGGAGAGAGAGTTCGAGCGACAAACTTTGATTGAACAATCCAATGGTCTATTGAAGTCGAAACCGCTCATTCTCCACGGATTTCAGCCAACAGACAGTCATAGCACACGTTTTCGAGAACGTGCTCCCACAGGGGCTGGATAGTTCCATCACAACCAAACCATTCAATGAATCCTCTACATCGCTGTTCCGGGCCACTAGCTCGCCATGCGAATTGGGAAGCGCATCGTTGGCAGTGGATTGCCTGGACAAGTTGGTGACACATGTTCGATACTTGTTCCGTGCTTGTAGGCTGTTTGATGAGCTTGATATGTATATAGAAGGTTGGTTTTTTATTTTGTCACAGGCGCCCTGGGTTGGGTGTGCCCGTGGCCTTATATCATACACATTGTGTCGAAGGTGGAAAGGCGCTTTCTTTGTTACTTGAATCACTTTGTCTTTCATCCTTCAGTTCTGTGTTGTTTGTCTGGCTTCAAGATTCGAAACCTCTTTGTCAACATGGAAGACTTCTTGTCAGCAATTTCAATGACTGGGTCTGTTTGTTGAGAACAATGATCTGCTTGACAAGTCCTCTTTCATAGACAGCAGTCATGCTTCTTTGTTTGTAGCCTAGTGTGGGACTGGCTCCCACTCCTATGATCATCCCCTAATCCCCCAATGAGCAGCGACCGAAAAGCTGGCATTTGCCGACATTGCCTGGCGGGATCCCATGCACCAGCTCAAGCAAGAGTCCAATGTCTCCTATACACTCAATAGAATCCCTCCTACCAAAGTCATATCAACCTATCGTCGATGTCAATGCATGGAACGCGAAATTGAGCCGGTCCTCTCGTCTACCGTCATGGCTGACATGTCTCAGACGCAGGAAGTGCCGTCTACACTACGTGCAGTTCAACTGCCCGCACCGCAGTCCAGTCATTCGAACAACGGTCCAGGGCTGTTGCAAGTGTGCGCACCGTCAGGGTGGAATATGTCTCCCGATCGTGGTCGAAGTGCTGAAGCCAAGAAGGTGTCCGGAATGTGAAGACGATAACGTCAGGTCGAGACTAGAGAGAATTCGAAGATCTCGAACCTCGCTTTGGCTTGACTACGGCATGTAGCCACCAGAGTCGGTCGAGCGGGTCTGGGAATACGACCATAGTATTCTATAAGTACTTGTGATCCATATCCTCTTCTGCTCATATCTCTATCTCGCCTACAGCCTGTGATCCCCTTGACACATGGCCACAGCTGTTGGCTGCTCAAAAAAGCCCAAAAGGATGCCGCGCGTGGTTAGAGACAGACACGTGTGAGTTAGTTTTTGGTTTCCGTCATGCAGTATCATAGTATCATCACCAAAACGCTACACGGAGCACTGAAGAGGCCCACCTTTGGCCTGACTTCTCTTAGGCACCTCTTGGTTTATCAAAGGTGTCGCACAAAAAACTCTACTGGTGTGTCCGCCTCTGTCTGCTATTACCAGACAGGCATGACTGGAGAACATTTGCCTTACATATCTGATGTTGGACCCTCATATTCCAGCTATGTCATGCAATCTATCAAGCCTAGGGTGTCGTGGCCATCAAGGCACACATTCACACATGAGCAAGGACATCTACTCAAAGAATACTGTCAATAGCTCACCTCAGGGTTAACCTAACTTAGGGCCCAAAAGTACGATGTAATAATCATTACCCTCTCGGTAGGTTTGGACTGTAAAGCTGTCCGGCTGAATCGTCATAACTCGCAAGCTTGTCCTAGGCCACCTTTTTCAACTCAGGGAGGGCTGGTGTTCCGCCGAGGCGGTTCGCATCCCAAGTTAGGAAGAGGTGTCAGAACGACCTCACGCAGTGGTTGTTGTTCTGAGCCTACGAGGTTGGACTGCAGATGCGATCTGTTAGCATGGGAGGTTTGAGCTACTGCTAGTGTATTGAAAACACAATGATAAGTACTCTAGATACTTTTCTCTATTTGCATCTACAGCATCCTCCCGGACTTCTCCTTATCTGAAGTATGCGGAGGTTTGCAAAGAACAACGTGTAGACAGTATCTGCTGCCGGTAATGCTCCTGCTTGGTGGGCGGGGCAGCATGATCTCGAAGGTGAGGTCTTGGAAATGATCACTGAGAGGGTTCTCATTGAATTTTCGCGTCTGGCTGTAAAGAAAGGGAATAGCGGAAGGAAGAGGGGAATTGAAAGGAAGTAGGCGTAATTGATAAGGAAAAGGAAGTGGCGTGGGAAATACTGGTATGCTGGGTATAGAAGATGTTCTATGGGGGGTTTTAGAATCCGAGGACGTTGGAGGCGACGGTGCTGAAGGTGGGCGGTGGCTTCATCATTGATGACAAACACGCCCACTCCCTGCTTCAATAAGAAAGACGACACTGGGATTTCAAAGTTGTCTTTGCGGCTTTGAGCTGTGCAGTAGTAGCTACTGAGGCGGAGTAGATATATATTACATGGACATATATTCTGGATATGAGTGGGGAGAGCAGTGCTTACGACAGCAGGATATCATAGCCATCCTCGTTGATCTTGACTTCTTCATTCCCAATGCCATATCTTCTCCTGACCAATTCGAAGATGACTAGACCTGCGCTCGTGGCAGGAGTCTGCTTTATGCTGTTCCACCAGAACCCTCTGAACAGCCACTTTCTAAAACCCCCAATACCCTGAGCTTCCGTCATACACTGGCGCCATGTTTCCTGGTAGGCGAGGTAATATGCTCTCATCATTCTTCCTGAGGACGGGTAGCGCTCGTATGTTCGCGCTTGACGGTCAAGCGCTTCGAGGCGCTCATAATGCCTTGTCTGAATTTTGTTCAGAGGATAAATGACGCCCTGCTGTGCAACAGATGCGGCGACACCTGCAAGCATGAGAAACCCAGGCTCGAGTACGTAGTGCGGTTTAATGACTGGAACATCATGGCGTGAAGTGCTTGGTGTGTCCCTGACCTCTGCCAGTTGCGTGACAACCCAAGGTTCGAGGGAGCCATAGTAAACGGCGACGAATTTGTAGTAGCTTTGCGCTTTCAAATATTCAAAGACACTGAAGAAGACTCCGCAGCCGAGGCTATCTTTCATGAAGGATAAGCCCCATCCAGCGAAGACACCTCGCATACCAATTTCTCCCAATTTTCCCTTTGCATATGCCCACATGCTCTTGTTCTCGTAGTGCTTCTCACGCTTCTCGAACCTTATTTGGAGAGCGTCCAAAGGGGCGGCTATCAAGCTTTGAATCCCTCCTGCCGCGTAGCCGGCTGCAAAGGTGGCCCCGGGTGAAGGAGGTGGAAATACACGTTTGGCGGATTGCGATGAGGGTTCGTGAAGGGCACCAAGGATCTGAAGGTAGCTGGTGTACAAGATTGCACCAACAGCTGCATTTGCGAGAAGCGGCGGAAGGACTTGCTCAGGAATGAACCGCCAACCATAGGTCTTGACAGCATGGGTGAGAAGACCCGGAGTAGTAGTCCGCCATGAGAATTCTCCGGATTGGATCCTGGGGTTGATTGACTTTGCGTAGGCCTAGAGAGGCGTAAGTCGTAACACATTGTCAGAGGTTCTCTTTCCATACGAGGTAGTCAACTCTTGTTCGAAAGAATGCTTTGACAGGGGCTCTAAAATAGAAAGCTGCACCTCTGGCAATGAGGGCTCGACCTCCCGCTGCCGTCGCACCAGTGGCAGCATTGTTGCTCGGTTTTCTTCGGGTAGTTTCATCGTCGCCTCGAAGTGGAGTGGAATGAAGAGCCCGGGAGTCCATTGGATCGATGACGGACATCTGCCGGATCAGAACGCGCCATCATGGATGGCAATTGGACATGCTCAAATGCATGCACTGTGATATAAGAAGTCGTGCAGCACGTGGCGCCCTTGGGTGTCGTTGGAGCGTAGGAAATCATTCCCATTGTTGTTCTCTTTCTCTGGCGGTCAAGTCCTCACGGTATTTAACTATTGTAAACTCCGCACCTGCCTTACTCGTAGAGCCGCCCCGCGGCCATTCTGCGCCAAGACCTAGGCAGTGGCCTCTTTACGCGGAGAAAGAATAAACGCGTTCAGTAATTGGATATGTCAATCTTCTCTTCCTTCAACTCTCAAATACCTTGGTCACAGGTTGACTCAACCCTGAACTTCTCTCCTTCCCTTCATCCTTACCTCCCATTGCTTGTTCTCTGGATGTTTGGATCCATTCACCGTCCCTAGAAGCACATCCGCAGCAAACCTTGCGATGGCGGAAGATCAGATTGTCATCAACGCGACCACCTTTTTCGACCGCCTTTCACGATTCTATGCTTCATGGAAGGCAGACAAGCGATCTGGTGCTGACGCGCTATTTGGAGGGGTGGGCTCGATCGTTGTGCTTGCAGGCAAGGCCGAACAAGAGAGCTCCTACCAAAAGAACAATGCGCTACATGTAAGACGATGATGGCTTATCTCGAGCATCTGAACAGCGTGGCTTCTGCTTGCAATATCCCTCGGCTGACTTGTCTTCCAGTTCTGGCTACTTGGATATGAGTTTCCAGCGACTTTGATGCTCTTTACCACGGAGGCTTTCTACGTTGTGACCACTGCCAAAAAAGGTGTGAGAATCTAGTCATCATCATTGTTACTAATTCTTGCGCTGACCGCTGAATCTTAAAGCGAAACATCTTGAAAACTTGAAGGACGGCAAGATACCCGTTGAGATACTTGTCGTAACCAAAGATCCAGAGTCGAAGACCAAAGCGTTCGAGAAATGCCTGGACATCATCAAAGGTGCGGGCAAAAAAGTTGGTACAATCACAGCGAAGAAAGAGCCCACTGGTCCATTCGTGGATGAGTGGAAAAAAGCCTTTGGCGATTTATCTAAGGAAGTGCAAGAGGTTGATATCTCCCCAGCTCTATCGATCGCTGCATTTGCTGTTAAGGATGAGAATGAGCTGCTTGCAGTAAGGACTGCCTCTCGGGCATGCGGTGGACTTGTCACGAATTATTGGGTCGAAGAAATGGCAAACGTGCTAGACTCTGAGAAGAAGATCAGCCATGCCGCTCTGTCACAGAAAATGGAGGCAAAGATTGACGATGCGAAGTTCTTTAAGAAAATGTCCAAAATGCCATCAGACTTCGACACGCAACAGTTGGAATGGACCTACGGCCCGGTTATTCAAAGTGGTGGAAAATATGATTTGCGATTCTCTGCAGAGCCAGACAACGAAAATCTCCATTCCGGTACCATCATAGCGGGCCTCGGATTGCGATACAAGACCTACAGCTCCGTGGTTGCGAGAACGTACTTGGTGGACCCAAGTAAGTCTCAGGTAGCTAACTATAAGCTTCTTCTTGCTGCTCACGAAGCTGTGTTGTCCGAGATCAAGGATGGAGCCCTTGTCAAGGACATCTACAACAAAGCCTTGGGGGTGGTCAGATCCAAGAGACCAGAGCTCGAGAAGAATTTTGCAAAGAACGTGGGTGCGGGAATTGGTATTGAGTTGAAGGATTCGAGTTTTGTTCTGAGCGGGAAAAATACTCGCACCCTGAAGGATGGCATGACTTTAAGCGTCACCACCAGTTTCGCAGATCTAACCAACGACAAACCTCAGGATTCACGCGGGAAAATCTACAGCCTTTTACTGACCGATACTGTGCGAGTCCCGTCCCGAAACGACAAAGTTGCAGTCTTTACCAAGGATGCTGCTTCAGATATGGACTCAGTAGAATTCTACTTTAAAGATGAAGAAGAGCCGACTCCCAAAAAAGACAAGTCGAAGAAGGCAGTGGCCAGTTCGATTGCAACATCGAACATCAAATCTGCGCGACTTCGAGGAGCTGATCGAAAAGATGCCGGCAAAGAAGTGGAGGAATCCAGAAGGCGGGAGAATCAAAAAAACCTTGCCATGAAGAAGCAGAAAGAAGGACTCGAAAAGTATGCCGAGGCTACCGGTGGCCAGAATGGCACGGCGCAGAAGCAGTTCAAGAAATTCGAGTCTTATAAGCGCGACAATCAACTTCCACCCCGAGTCAAAGACATGATTGTGTGGGTCGACACCAAGGCGTCCACTGTCATTCTACCTATCATGGGTCGACCTGTACCATTCCATATCAACACCATCAAGAGCGTTAGCAAGTCTGATGAGGGTGAATATACTCACCTCCGTTTCAATTTCTTAGCTCCTGGACAGGGCGTTGGAAGGAAAGATGATCAACCTTTTGAAGATCCCCAGGCGCACTTCATTCGATCCCTAACGGTAAGATCAAAAGATACAGATCGCCTGGCCGATGTCGCGGCTCAAATCACAGAGCTCCGAAAATCCCTGTCTCGAAGAGAACAGGAAAAGAAAGAGCTTGAAGACGTAGTCGAACAAGAAAAATTAATCGAAGTACGAAATAAGAGGCCTATCAAGCTGCCCGACGTCTACGTACGGCCTGCGCAGGATGGCAAACGAGTTCCTGGTGAGGTGGAGATCCACCAGAACGGTGTGCGATATACCTCTCCAATGAGAAATGACCACGTTGATGTCGTGTTCTCAAACATCAAACACATGTTCTTCCAGCCTAGTGTTGGCGAGTTACTTGTCATCCTGCATCTCCACCTGAAAAATCCGATCATGATCGGTAAGCGCAAAACAAAGGATGTGCAGTTCTACCGCGAAGCCACCGATATGGCCTTCGACGAGACAGGCAATCGAAAGCGCAGACATCGCTTCGGGGACGAAGAGGAATTTGAAGCGGAACAAGAAGAGCGGCGGCGTCGGGCCGAACTTGATAAGCAGTTCAAGAAGTTTGCGGAGCAGGTCACTGAGGCTACTAAAGAGCTAAATATCGTCGCCGACGTGCCATTCATGGAGATTTCCTTTTTTGGTGTGCCTTTCCGATCGAACGTTATGATGCGGCCTACTACCGACGCTTTGGTGCAATTAACAGAGCCGCCATTCACGGTCATTACTCTAGAGGAAATTGAGATAGCACATCTGGAACGGATACAGGTATGACGTTCTAATCAGGAAATGGGATGGCATTCACTGATCTGTCTTAGTTCGGACTCAAAAACTTTGATATGGTGTTTGTCTTCAAAGATTTCCATCGCACGCCAGCTCACATCAACACAATTCCTGTGGAGAGCCTAGACGCAGTCAAAGATTGGCTGGACAGCGTTGACATTCCCTACACTGAAGGACCTCTGAACTTGAACTGGGCCACCATCATGAAGACGGTGACGGCCGATCCGCATCAATTCTTCGTCGATGGCGGCTGGACGTTTTTGAGAACGGACTCGGACGATGAAGACGCCAGCCAAGAGAGCGAGGAAAGTGCTTTTGAAATGTCGGATGCCGAATTGGCTGAAAGTGAAGAGAGCAGTGAGGAAGATAGTGAATTCGATGATGATGCCAGCGCAGACGAAGGAGAGGAGGACAGTGAAGAAGAAGAGGAAGGGGAGGATTGGGACGAATTGGAGAAGAAAGCCAAGAAAGCGGATATGAATGGGTTGGAGGAGGATGAAGATCGGGGCAAGAAACGGAAGCGTTGATTGAGTGATGGATACTGTAACTAACTAATTAGTGTGCTGGTTCTCTTCCGGTACGGCCAGCTGCTTGCTAGCTGCGGGCAGATGGTTAGATGCCGCAGCCTCCAACGGACATTCCGGGGATTGACCTTCCGTTCTAGCGCACAGAAGAGCAGATACTACGTGAAGAACATCTTCACTGGTCACCCTCCTCTCCAAAAAAGAGCATATGATCAGACGGACAAGTCTGTTTCATGATTCGTGAGTGCATATTGTTGCGGCTGGAATCAGTATCTGCACGTGTTAAGAGTCTGAATGGCGACTGGGGGTTTCTATATGAGCATTTTAATGACAGCCCCCCCCATCTGCTCCTTCGGCTTTGGATTTTTTTCCCGAATCTTGACGCCGTCGGTCAGGCCTTCACTGCTAAAGTACCTACTACCGTAGTACGGTATCAGGCAGAAGTGATGTTAGCATGGTTCTAGTAATAGCTTGTTACATGACAGCGGCACATGGATGTTTCGAAGCTTCTCTGGTCGATGGCCACAGACATCGGCCACAGCAGTACCGTTAACCGTTCAAAGTTTAGCTGTCTGGTTGGGAATCCCTTCTACTACAGTATGAGGCAAAAGTGTTGTTAGCACGAAACTAGTAACTGAGAAGCGTAACAGGTACTGGACGACATGGCTAGAGCAGGATGGGCTAAGCGGTATGGATAAAGATGATTTGTGTGGGTGGGCATAAGAAGAAGCTTCTGGAATGGGGTGTAGAGACGTATCAGAACAGTCATTATTAGCACCATGCTAACAATACTTCTGCCTCATACTGTAGTAGAGCAAGAGTACCAGCGCTATGCGAACATTATTTCTGCCTGATACCGCAGTACAGAGGTCAGCTGGCGATTCACTAGCTAACTAGTTAGGCAGAATCTAAAAGAATACTATGTATGGTCTGCTTTGGATTCGTTCAGCCTTGTGCCCCTAAGTCAACCGTTCTCACCGGTTGAACGTCCTCGGAACGCAGTGCGGAGGCCTTGTTCCTCCAATTGGAAGGACGGAAGTTAGGGCAAAAGGCGGGAGACCTTAACTGGGTAACCTTAACTGGGTAACGAGCAGTGCAGTGCAGGCTTGGTACGAATTCTCCCCGGTTACCTCTAGCTTCACCCGGTTCAGATTCCCCACCACCCCATTCTCCCTCACCGCGATTGCCTTGTCCATTGAGGACCAGCAGTAATCAGTGGTTCGTCATGTTGCAAGGCTATCAGATATGGTCCATGAGCATTTACGACGACAGCTCTTGTTGCGCACTTCTTTCGATCATGAACTGGGATGTTCACTCATCATGATCGCGTGCCAGACTACACTTGCTTTCATTCCAGACCTTCCATATCCTGCATACCTGTCGCGTCCAACAGTCCACCTTGACACCGGATGACTGAATAACGAATATCAAGCAATATACCTCGCTCTAAGATGGAGAATAGGGTGGTCCCGACTCGATCGGGTGTGCAATACACGCCCGAGCAATGGGCCAAGAAACGAGACATCATTACTCAGCTTTACGCAACAGAAGGAAAGTCATTGCGGGAGGTCAAGGAGCACTTGCGAACGAAGCACGACTTTCGACCCACGTACGTCTGGTTTCCCGTCTACCTTGCTATGGTCAGCTACTTATACTGACTGTTGATCAAGCGATCGCATGTACCAAAGAAAACTAGCGCAATGGGGTCTTGAGAAGAAACATAAAGCGCCGGAGATGAGAGCTATACTCCGTATAGCCAGACAGCGACAAGCAGCCGGTCAGCACTCCGTATTCAGGATCAGGGGTCGTCAGATCGACATCGAGGAAGTCCTCAGATACTTCAAGCGGAGAGGCGAGGACCCATCCACACTGGACTTACCAGAATGCGCTCCCCCCCACACGATTACTGTTGAGACACCTGCGCCATCACCACCACCATCATTGCCACCACAAATGCAGTCGTTCGGGTCCATTGACGATGAAGATAATCCCGATGAAACCCCTTCTACTACATTGGATCAACCTCTGATCCCATACCCAACTCCTGAAACCGAATATGCATTCCTTTGGGCTTCTGATTCCTCCTCAGACTCGTCGATTCGATCCGACTCAGTCGTGTCTACTCCAGTCGTTTACTCGGATGGCCAGGTGACTCTTCAATTGATTCCTGACAACCCATCTTTGGCTATGCCAATTGATGCGACTCTCGACTTTCCATATGCACGATATCTCCTTTACTGGACGCAGCAATTTCTCGGGCACATCGTGCCCCCAACATTTTACTCTGAAGATGGAGCAAGCCAAATCATCTTCAAACCTTGGAGGAGAACACTCTCAACCTGGGCACGGGCAATAAGTGAAGGTCAGGAGCTGATACGAAGAGGTCAAGAAGCCGAGGCCGATAAATTACGGAAAAGAGCACTCGCTAGTGTCAGGAAGCACATCACGAACCCGTCTCCAATCACCTTGTTGCGCTACTTCGAGATCATCTGCGCCCTCTGCGAGTTAGACCCACACTTCCTCGATGTGACCCTGAGACACGTCTTCGCCGAGGCTGGGAAGTACCTATATGTCAACCATCCCATAACAGCGTTGACCCGAATGTTCCTGGATCCACGAGCTAGACCATTCAGGGGGCCACTCGCCCAACAGGGTATATTCAAGTCGCTTGCTATTCTTCTCGAAACGTATAGACCTCGTCATCCTCGTATGCTTTACATACTGGACAGCCAAACGCAAGCTCATCTTGATGCTCAGCAATACGAGGCTGCCATTAAATCAGCCGAGCTGTACCTTCAGCGTGCAGAACTCATTGTGGGCGAAAACTCTTTCGAATCATGTCAAGCGTGGCGCATGCTAGGAGATGCGCACATCAAGCAGAATCAGCTTGAGAAAGCTGCTACGGCATATCACAAAGCCTTTACACTTCAAGCACATCTGACATCATCCAAGTATCGCCCTGCCAAAGAGGTCAAGAAGGATCAGAGCACTATCGGTGTCAGGACGCAACGTGGCTTGGCTGATATCGCTAAGAGACGGGTACAATATCCCCAAGCGCGACAACATCTCGAGGTTGCCTTACACATGGCAAGGGAAGCCTTTGGAGAAGATGATGTACTGGTTCAGCTGGTGCAGAAGGACCTTGTCGCCCTGAACGTGACGCAAATGACAGAAGCATTTGCCATCATGCCTCCCAACATTTGGCCTATTACCAACCAGAGGCGCGAGCCGCAACTTGACAATACCCTGTGCTGACGACGACGTCTTGCATGGCCCGACTGTACGGTTATGTGTTCATGTTCTTTCACATCTACTGAGGACCGATGACCTCTATTCCGGCGTGCCCAGTAGAGCAATTCTTGTTTCCCGCTTTCGACGCGATAGAACCGCAGCAGTATTCACATACTCTATTTAATGATGATGGAAGGACAAGCAATTGCACAACTCTATCTTCATCTGCATGATTCTTTGCTGTGAAGTCTGTTTTCTCTTCGATGTCTAACTCGCTGGAGCTTCTTATAGCTTTGATCAATGCTGGCTCTGAGAACATGGGGAAATAGAATTGTTCTTGACCCTCGGCCCATTGTCCTCACCATTCCTCTGCCACCCCAGCTACAGATTTATGGTTTCTTTACCATGTCCGCCATTCTTCGGTATCCCTTGTGCCCTCCATCGGTTAGAAGGTGGCTGATGGCTTCGCATGATATCAAGTCGTCTTTTGGCTGCTATCGGTTGCGACCCAATGCTTGCCATCAAGGGTAGTCGGTTGCTGAAGATGGAACATTCTACCTTACGACCCCTATGAGGGGTTTCTTCGGAATGTACCCGAGCATTCCTTCAACCTTGTTATGGAATGCTTGTTTGCATACATCTTCTTGTCGATGATCGATGGAACTTCTGAGTTGTTCACACCTTATGTTTCCGTCTCCTAATGGTACTGTCACCTGATAATTTTCACAACTAGAGCAATATCTGCCACAAATTGCGTGCTGAGGCTCGAGAGGAAAGCTGTAAGGAGACTGTATCATCATTACTGTAGATGATGATTGCCCACAGCGTACCTGTGGAATCGCATATCAGTCTTCTTCTTGTATCTGACGCAAACACTTCCTTGCTGTGCATGGCGATGCAAGTGTGGGAAGTGGCCAAATTGCTCGGCGTGAATCTCGAGAGGTGAAGAGACGGATCGAGAAGAAGAAGAGAGATACTTAAAGACGAGTGGGTAAAGCAGTAATATACCAAGCTGCCTGCTCCGTTATCAAACCTTTTCGCTTTCTTATTACTCTGTCTATTCAATGTTCTCTCATTCCTTCTGTCTCGCTTTCTTCGGCCCTGGCCCTGGCTCCCCATGTCTCTGCTGTTTCTTCCTCTACTTCCAGCCCGGCTGGACAAGAGAGATTGTATGCTCGTGATTCATGAGATCCTTATCCTCTTTGCCTCGCCCACGGGGGCGCAGGAATGAAGAATTCATCGGTTTGCTCTTAAAACGAACGAACAGACGCCATGTGGGGATCGAACATATGCTGACGGATGTGGCGGGTATGATCGTTGAAGTGACCTTCACCCCCCCCTTCAGATCGCATTCTCGAGCCATATCATCCGGTCCGATCTGATCCAAATCTGCCTGCCAGCATCCAGTTTAACCGTCAGTGCCCCCGGCTGAGGATTGACTTGCCAATAAGCAGCTTCCTCTGCGTCCCTGTGCTGTGGCCTTGGAAATTCTCTGTGTCAGTTATTGGCATTGGTTTCCCTGTTCATCGATTCCTACTCCCTCCCTTCCCATCCTTATCCTCCTCCTGTAATCCACCTCCCAGTTATATCCTATCAACTACCCCTACAACCAGCCTAATTCAACTGTAGCAGTGGTGGCAACCACACCCCCTCCCATCCCACCACCATCTCGCACCAGCCCAGCCCAGCCCAGTCCCAACTCAAACAACGACAACAACAACAATAACCCGAGCTGATAACCGATCCCCAACAGTCCAAAAGCCCAAACCACATCATCAACCCTTCGCTCTTAAATCTCCACCCCTGCTTCTAGCACGTGATATGTGACACGTGACCATATATATGGTTGCTTGAAAGATGCAAGGAAAAGAAGAAAAAGCATAAAAAAAAGTTGCAACATAGTGTAGTACAGCGCAAGCGAGCAAGCAAGGAAGAAAGGAGCTCTCGTCTGCTTTGGCGTAACCAGGGGGACACTAATTAGTCAGTCAGTCAGTCACTCAATCAATCAATCAAGTAAAGCAAACCGACTTGGCTAGTTACTGTAACTTTTAAAAGGGGACTTGGAATGAGCCACCGCCCTGTCCCTGTCCCGATCCTGTCCTGTCCTGTCCTGTTCTGTCCCAGCAGATCTGGATCAGGATCTGGATCTGGATCAGAGAAGTGCAATAGGCTTATTGTGCGCCACGTCTCTCTCTCTCTCTGTGTGTGTGTCTGTCTGTGTATCTCATGGCCAGTAAGTTGGATTGAGCGGAAGTGGGGGCTCGGATTCCGTGGTGGCGGGGTTTGTTTTTGCAATACGTGCTTCGTCTCGGCTGGATGGATGGATGGATCAGTCGAGAGCGTGGAAAGGGGAGGTTGGGGGAGGAAGGTTCCTGGTGGGAGGGAAGTTGTAGAAATAGAATAGAATAGGGACGAGAGAGGGGGAATGATGGGTGGGATCGGAGGGAAGGGGGAGGGGAAGGAGAAGCGAAGGGAAGACGATGAAGAAAAAGACATCACAGGCCACGAAGGAATGGAATGGAATGCCATATGAGCCTTCCCTTCACTTCCCTTGTCGTGGTCCTGGCCGCAGCCATAGCCACGACGGGTAACGCAAACCAACCGTTCCCATCAACACGACGAAGTGTCGCCAATTTGTTATCAGCTGGCTCTATTGCCGGTATTTCAATCGCAAAAAAAAAACAAAAACAAAACTGTTTTATCTTCTGACAAAAGTCCTGCTTGACGAAGTGTTTCGTCTCCTTTCGTTTCGCTCATGCTTTTCACCTGCCAGTAATGCATCTCCCAAGCAAAGTTAGCAGTTAGCATGCAATGCCGCTCACCCTGAAATAGATGGCTGGCGTGCTGCTGCGGGAGGTAGGAGAAGTGGTGGTATCTCGGTTAGAACAACCGACGCCGCCGCCACCAACACCGCCACCGGAGGAATAACATCAGGGGAAATTCCGAACATGACAATACAGGTTGTTGTCAGCACCTTGCTTCTAGCTCCGCCCTGAATCCTTAAACTCCAGGTTCTAAACGCAGTCATTCATCGCTCATAAAAACCTTCATCATAAATCGACTCTTAACTTCCACCCCTTGACATTCCCTTCCTGAGCCTCTCTCGCCGCCCACTCTTGCAAGATCGCCATACCAAACCTCACCGCCTCCACAACTCCCGTATTAACATCCAAGGGCAAGAAATACGTGTAATTGCCCCTCAAATTCTCCGCCGACAAGCCCTTCTCCAAGACTGCCCCCGGCCCCGAAGCAGCTTTTACGCTCAGATCCCTCGCCCTCTTTTGCCACGTATCCGGGAAGTCCTGCTTCAGAACCTCAGGGCTCAACTTTTGGTATCCGTCCAGCCACGCGCGATGGAGGTCTTTGGCATTTTCGATGAGTTCGGTGCGGAAGGTGGTCCATTTTCGTCGCGCTTTGTCGGAAGCGGATGAGGAGGTGGCGTCCTCGTTGCTGGTGGTGCTGCTCTTAGTGTTTCCGTCGCTGCTGGGTGTGGGCGCGGAGACGGTGGCGTTGAGGTCGTCTGTCACTACCGGCAAGGGTTCACGAGCGAGGCGGTCGAGGTCGTGCTTGGAGATGGTTTGCCGGCAGACAGCACCGAGTTGACTGACTAGGCCTTGCAGATGCGGAAAGGGCATCGAAATGCGATGGATGAACACGAGGTAGGGAAGGATGGTGCGCCAGCCGGAATCGCTGCCGTTGTTTGCGTATGATAAGGCGACTTGATTGAGCATGAAACAGAGGAGAGCTTCGACGTGGAGGAGGACACCGTGTCTTTGGTCCGGCATTTCTTGATGAAGAAGGGATTGGCCTTCGTGCTTGAGTTTGCGGCCGAGTTCGTAATACTTTGTGTTGAAGGCTTTCCACGCACGGCGCATGTCGTCACGTTGTGATGAAGCCGAACCCAGGTCGGTGGGCGGAGATGTTCGATTGAACGTATGTGGTTTCTCGGTGCTACCAGGTGTACTCTGCCGGGTCATGCTTGCGGTGGGTGTGCGTGCATCGATACCATCAGATGATTCCACTCTGCGCATGGCTGTCGTTTTGAAATCCTTCTTGGGGGTCGAGAAGGCTGATCGAGGTGGAACCGGGTTGTGTACAGAAGGCGATTTGAAAGCAGATGGGACAGGCGTAGTTGGTCTTTCTGAGAGGTTGAGTGAGGAAGGCGTAAGCTTTGGACGTTTAAGGGGCTGTTCCGATGGTTGAGAAGTGGGGCCTTCTTTCTCGCGCTTGGGGGTTGCTTCATTTGGAGTCTTCATCGTTCCGTTGACAGCTTTCACCGACTCGTGCTTATCTTCAGTAGCACTTTCTGACCGGGGAACTGGCTTCTTGCTCCGGGGTGCGAATTTCAGCAGTGCTTCCACACGCTTCCTATTCCGTTTGCCATACTTCAACACAATGATATGGCGTTGTCTTGGACCCGGACTGGATGTTGAGGCCCTGCTTCGCGCACCAGGTGAGATTCTAGCCTCCTTCATATCAATCTGCAGAGAGGGCGAGAGATGTCTTTCGTGGTCGGTTCGAGAGATGCCCGTCTTTTTCGATGCGGACAAGGGTGAGCCTCCCGGGCCGGGTGCGGTGAGAATGGACTTCACAGAGTCGCTTCTTTTGTGGTTCGTCGTGCCATTTGGCTCCTCCTCTTCATCCTCATTGTGTGCCAGCAGATCTTCTATGGAGGAGGGAAGAGTAGGTGAAAGAAGGTCCGGGATGCTGGTGATGTTATCTGCTTCGGCGGGTGGAAGTGTTGGTGAGAGTAGCGAAGGAACGCGAGTTTTGTTCGCGTTGGTTGTCCCTGGTACAGTTGTAGCAGATGAGCCCGGTGATCTTGCTTTCACGGGTGACTTTGTTCGAGCTCTTTTTTCTGGTTTAGGAGACTTGATATTGGAAGAAGCATCCGCCACGTCGTTGAATGATCGCTTTCTATCCGGTTGCCTCTTGGGTGAGGAGCCAGCTGTTACCTTGCTATTCCTTGCTTCGCCTCGAGACACCCCGTTGACCTGCGAATCCTTACCGCAGGACTGCAGTTCAGCGGCGTGCGCCATACCCCCTGATCGGTTTGCTTCTTCCTCACCTTTACCTTTACTTTTGTAATCGGTCAAGGATATCTTCTTGCGCTGACCACTCAAAGACGGTGAGTTGGACGTGCTGGGATATGTCTGCTGTGGTGAAGGGTCCTCATCAACCAGGTTTCCCTTCTCATCCGACCAACCTCCCACCGCTTTAATTAGACTTTGCTCCCCGTCTTGATGAGTCAAGAAGCTCATGTACTGTAGTGCTTCCTCCTCCTTTGCGAACGGAGTGCCGAGATACCAATTGCTAACAAACCGCGAGTTGTGACGATAGGGAACATCCGAAGGAACGGAGATTAGGTACGGAGCTTTGGGCAGGACGTCGTCAATGAGGTGCTTTACTTGCGCATCGAGGCGAGATACTTGAAGCTTGGTATTGTGAAGGGGAGCGGACTTGTTACGCGGATTCGCCGTTGGTCCTCTGTTTGTGTAAAGACTGTTTGCGCGTGACATGGCAACCAACCGTCAGCATATGAAACAAATCAGTCCTCCCTCGAGATTGGGATGCAATGCCTAGATGCTGGTTTGAGAACCTGGCGTGTGATTGAGGCCAGGTTCAAGAGACTATGGTATTATTTGCTGTCGCAGGCAAGTCCGTTCAGAGCGTGAGCGGTTTGAAGTTCTGCAGGTATGTCTGCAATCTGCTTCGTGCTTCCATAAGCAGTAACGAGCCATATAAGGTCGTGCAAAGAGATGTTCAAGAGCGTCGCTTTTCGCCGGCTTAAGTGAAACTTAGATGTGCCGCCACCAAGGTCGCCCTCGTCTCTGGTTTGTTTCTTGCATGTGACGACAAGCTCCAGGGGGCCATACGACCCGGAAAGAGTGTGTGAATGTCGCCTAACCCATATGAGATCTCGAATGAGAGTTTGTTTGAACAGAATGGCTGGTGTACAATGTAGGAGAGAGGGACGGCGGTGTCGCACGGGAGGGTAGGGGCGCGGTTCCACCCAGGTCGAGCTTGTACGTTCGGACAGGGCGATTTCTGAAGAGTCGTACACGAGTTTCTCCTGCGAAACGTCTGAGAGAAGCAGGTGGACGAACAACGCGTTCGAGATCTACAAAAATTCAAGGGCAGGAGGCTGGCCTCGGGTGAGAGTTGGGGTATGGGTATGGGTACGGCTATGGGTACGGCTATGGAGGGTTCGCTAAGCAATCCGCCTACTCCGCGCAATCAAGCTTTACATACTGTACCGCACCTCCGCTGCCAAAGCTAAACTCTACCGGGCCTGCTGGAAGACGCATCTCTTCAAGTAAGCGGATGAGATAATCCAATGATATGTCTATCCCAGCTGCTTGGGTGATGTAAATGCCTTTTCTCAATAGACGTCTCTCGATTTTGAAGGCAGGACGCTCAACAGAATGTCGTGTAAATTTCTTAGCTCTATGGAATGCCGACCCCGGTGCCATGAATTCCTCCAGGAAGAAACACCGTCGCTATGCTTCTGATCCTCTCATGACGAGAACGAAACCGGGAATCGCTCGCGTAACCGAGGCCCATAGTAATAAAGCACAACTGGGCTGGGAGCGATCAAGATTGCCAGGAATCCAAACACGCTGGTCCCCCATCCGTAACCAATCTTCTCAAACATCGTCGAAGCGAACAAGGGTGTGACACCCCCCAAAACACTTCGAAGCACTGACCCAGCGGCGATGGCGGATGCTGCGTATTGGGAAAAGGAGTCGATGAAGTAATTCTGTACCGTGTTGATCACCATGACCTGACCTATGCCGTAGAAATACAGTGCAGAAACAGGAATGAGCCAATGAAGTCGGAAGGAAACAGTCCATGCAAACCAGAGCAGACTGACCGGAACCAGCACACTTCCGATATTGGTGAGCGGTAGTCGATACTCGGGGAGCGCAACGCCCTTGTTCCTGGCCGTTAGTTTGTTGTAGACATCATCGATGCGCGGGACAAGAAACAAAACACTTGTGAGGCCTCCAAGTCCGATGAATAGATAGAGTAGGCCGACATGCTCAGTGGAGAAGCCATACCCTCCAGCGAAAATGTTTTGCATTTGCGTATATATCGTGTACGTCGTGGAAAAGATAAGTGCTTGGTAGCATGAGAGCAAGATGACGACGGGTTGGGAGAGAATGATAAATGGCCGTTTCAACGATGTCAGAAGCTTTTCGCGCAGCTTTCGGTCATCCTGACCCTCATACGTATATGTGACCTTGTTTTCTTGCTCCAATCTAGCCTTCTCCTGTGCCAGTAGAATTGGAGCGTAGGTCTCCCGAAGGAAAAAAATCCCTATCAAGGTGTTGACTGAGCAAATAATCAAGATTACCCAGTAGATCCATCTCCACCCCAGTCTCTGCGCGATCACTCCTCCGAGTATTGGACCAAGGACAGGACCTAGCAAAGGGCCTAAAAGATACCAGCCATAGATTTCGGCTCTGCCTGACGGCGGAAACATGTCGTTGATCGTGCCTCCTCCATTAGCTATACCTACGCTTCCAAAAAATCCAGAGAGAGTGCGGACGGTGATCAGAGTAGCGATGTTTGGCGCCAGCGCCGTGGGAATTTGAAGCAGGGTGAACACAGAGAAGCAAACGATGTAGACAACACGCCTTCCTAGAGTTTCCGACAGTGGTGCGATAATCAGAGGTCCAAGGCCAAGCAGAACGATGTAGCCTGTGTTCGTGGCTATGACTTTTTCTTCTGTCGTGTGAAGAGACAGGGCTATGTTTTTAATTGCTGGGTTGTATACTGAGCTGGCCAAGGGACTGAGAATGCTCATGGCCGCAATGATCGAAACGTTGAAAAGCCGCTTCTTACGCGTCCAGGCGCGAGGGTTCCTCGTGTCATCTGGGGCGAAGTCAAGATGGTGATCGGCGTGGTTCCTGTCTTCGCTGCTATGTTCCAGGAGCGGTGACTCCTCGTCGAGATGGCGAGGCATTGTGCAAGACGGGAGGCCGTCTGAAAAAAGCCTTGAAGGCTACAACAACATAACAGTAAGACGAAGCAAAGCGTCCAGAGAAAGGCTGTAGCACCAAGATAGTAAAGAACAGAATGATATTGTCTAAAGGAAGTTTTTGAACAGAATGGAATGCCTAGAGAAAGAATAGAGTTGTCGTCGGAAAGTTTCAGATTTCAAAGCATCATCGCTTGCGAAAAAACATCCCCGTCAGAGCTTGCTCAGACAAGGTTAGAACCATCTGGTTGATGGGAGCCAATGTACTAACCTGATCGGGTAGCGGGTACCATCAGCCAAGGTGTTGAAATACAAATAATTGCGAATGCTGAAGATTCCTCATCACCAATGTGTCAAATTTTATTGGCCTTCTGGATATTGCCCGCCATACTGATAAGGAGAACGAATTTGGACCCGCGGTAGTGCCCGAGTATGCCTTTGCGGTCCAGTGAATACTACAGAAATCTGCACGGACAGCACAGGCGGCTGTACCATAAACCTGCCTGTCTTAAGATGATGATCGTGAGGTTTTTGAACTTCTATCGTCCAAGCGCCACTTAGGATACCAGCCTTTATCAAGATCATTGCCGCGGCATGTCTGCAAGTACATCGCGGTGTGTGTTTCTGGAGAGGGCACCGTGATCGCAATCGAGCAACCCAAGCTGAACAAAGGAGAGGGCATCGAATGCAGAAGGAAGAAGAAGACGACCGAGAGAAACAGGCTCACATGATAATTTGGAGTTCCAGACTAATTAGGCTGGAAGGAGGATCAAATCTCTCTGCATAGCATGGCAAGGAAGGATCCTCTTGATACGAACTGGCTTATCGAGACCTCCTGGCCTATCGAGACCTCCTGGCCAATACCCAACCAGGTACGTCCTGTGCATGAACGATTACCAGCTCTAGCACAAAACCGAGCATATGTTTTTGTGGAGAACAGCACTAGATGCGGTGTGATCCAGGGGCAGCTGCACGACAGACAGACAGACGTGACTATGCATCCAGCGAAGAATGCTCAGGCTCTAAGAGGCCATGTCAGAGCGCCTCGTTTCAAAGCCAAGTCAACAAAAACCGGAATAAGCATCGACAAGATCTACAAGCCAAGGAATGCGGCAAACTATTACGAGGTTTACTAGTATCATCGGCGATGCAAAAGCAGATAGCCCCATCGCTGCTGCCACAACCGCAGAGGGAAAATCCTCCCATGGTTTCCCGTCGGTGCCTGATATGCGTCCTCACGCCTCAGTCACACCGCATGAAACAAGGGAAGCGAGCATAGTCAAGGTAACACATAGAGATCTATGATCTGCCTTCCTTTGGGAACTGAAATCAAGGTCTGCCACAAACAAGCGAGCCATTCACAATGTGGCATGGCATCCCCCGGCGCCGCCTGACCCTTCAAGCCGTCGCTATGGAAGAGCTGCTAACTTGGAACGGTTAGGGATCAGATTTCCAGTCACGCTAGCTTCGATGTATTCGGTATTACGCTCTGTGTAATGTTTCTAATCACCTTCCGAGGGTGGTCCGCCACTTGGGGGGTATGTGAAAGCTCAAGGTAAGCATGGTGTCACTCATGCAGAGGTGCGGAGAATAATGGTCAACCAGGATATAGCGGGTGATCAGTCTGAACAGGGCTTGATTACACGGATATCATCGTGATCTGGAAGTGCGCATCGTGATTGAATGCAGAAGTCAAATTGTAGACTTTTGACTAGTCGGGTGTAACATGTTTAAGAGAAAGGTACCATACACATGAGCTAATCAGGCAACAATTTTATGTTTGACGCACCGAGGTACATTGAAGTCTGTCAGCTGATTTCCGAGTAACATGCCGGTGTACTGCCATAGTAGCCAAAAGCACCCGTTCTAGCAAAGTGAGAGGTGTCGATATCTTCAAAGACCTGCCGTGTGCCCCCACAGGATCTGCAGGTGTCATCTTGGAGATGGGCGCGATTTCTCCTCCGTACGGTAGCTCAACCCTGTACTGCTCGATCTTTGAGCGGGTCCAATGTGGTCTTGCCTTGCCTGAAGGTCAACATCATCCTCATCCCCACTCGAATAGTCGCTACCATCGTCCTCACTGTAGTCATCATCATTGTGATAGTCGTAGCCGTCATCATCGTCGCTATATATCGGATCCGACTCGTGAGGGTCTAAGTCGGAGCCTACCGAATTGTCATCGAGCCGTTCGTCGCTGCGGACAATGGATCTTCGGAAGGCCGTTCGGTCACATAGTGAAGCCTGAGGGCGCGAGGGAGTCTGCATCGACTTTGTCTGTTCAGGCTGAGTCCTTCGGGTGCATTTATCGCCCAGATTCATGAAAGCTGCCGGCGATGAAGCTCCCGCTGTGCCCTTGTTTCCAGGTGACTTGCTATGCCTACGGCGTCCGCATTCCCTCTTAGACGCTCTTTGTCTTGTTTCATCTTCTCTCGCCGACCGGCACGCGTTGTCTGCCATGTTCGCACACACGAGGACTCTGAAAAGTCTCGGCTCCCCAGCGGAAGTCTCCTTGTCTAGCTTGAGTCGTGCCGAATGAAGCAGCCGCTGTGCTAGCTCCTTCTGGGAAGACATGATGAAGTGTGGAAAATGAATTGAATTTTTGTAACAGGGAAAGGTAAGAAGGTGGGCGAATGCTTTCTTTCGACATAGTTGTGATGGGTTAAGTAGCGTTTATTGGACCATTGCATACCAGAGCACAACCTGCGTAAGCAGCATCAGAAGTGGTCTGACCTCGGGAATTGATGCTTGTATGGGGAAAGACTAGCATTCCCTTGGCGCTGCAAGATGTGAGCTCAGGCTTCTTCACGGTACACGCATGCACCCTGGCCCACAAACACCTTCTTTGCCTTTTCAGTTGCCGCTGTACATCCTTGGCCCCACATCTTGCCCCAACCTTCTCTCCCCTGAACTGTTGTCAAAGACAGATTCGATAACTTCCATGTTCCGTGTCCCCAAACTAGTGGACGTAAGAACGTGCCCAGGGATATTACTATTGTGCATGGTGCGGGTCTGCAAGCGAGGGGGACAATCCCAGATTTTCATCGTGGCTGATCATTCGTGCGCAGTATCAGACTGCATGCGCGCAATTCTCGCCTTTAGCTCTCTGTTCTGTGAAGTGAGATTTTGGACTTCAAACTGGAGTCGTTCCATGTTGGTTATGGTGAGCGAAAGTATGTCCCGTTTGCTGAGTTCTGTGCCGCTCTTGCGCCGAAGAGAAGGCCTCTCACAGGAGTGATTGTTTGGCAGGATTTCCCTCAACTGTTGGATCTTACTATTGATGTTCATCCGGTATCGTTTCTCAACTTTGCTGTGAGCATCCTGCCTTAATCGGTCCTTTTGGTCTGCAGGAGTTGCTTTGAGTGTCGACGGCACGTCATTGATCGGACTTGTTTGGAGATGACCAAGATTCGTTACGGTCCTGGAGGCTGCTTCGATTGTGCAGCTAGGAGAATTCTCTGCATTGGTAGATGCGAAATAATGCGTAGCATGTATCATAGACTCTGCTTCACTTGATCCGCTTCCGTGGCTCGAACCTGGAAGACTACCATAAGCCGAATCCGCAACCGATATCCATGCCGAGCCACCTGGAGTTGAAGGAGAAATTGCATGGGAAAATGGTGATGGGGTTAGGCGTTCACCAATGCTTGAGAGGTCTCCATAACTCGAGGCCCGCGCGTTTGGATGTCTACATGCGAAGTCGAGATTCTGGCCAAATTCCTCAGGTACAGGGCTGCCAGAAGGATATGCTGATTCGGCCTTGCTGACCACAGAATCCCTGTGGCTCGGGTTTGAAAAGTTCGATTGATTCCAGTCGTTGGGATCCCACACGTCGTGAGGTGGAAAGGTGTCTATGGCCATGGCCTGTATTCCGGGATTGGAGTAGCCTGGTTGTGAGTTCCAGTTTGGTAATTGCCAGACATGATGTGAAGTTGAAGCAAGGTTAGAAATGCGATTTGCAAAGTTTCCGCCACTGGTTCCTTCTGCCGGACGAGTTCGTAGTGAGTCGACGGTCTGGGGCATTGCACCAGCGTTGCCGTCATGTAGATTCGGAGACGGAGCACCACGATTCTTGCAGGATTGCACAGCCGGCTACAATCAACGTCAACCACAACCACAGTAAGTATAAGAAGGGAACTATATACTGTGCAGCCCGAGTCTTGCAAGCAACCAGCTGACACCCACATCTCATTGCAGTAATCAGCCATCAGGTCACAGGGCGCTAGGGTTGGAGATACGATGTCTGCTCAAGAACCAAGACTCTGATCGACCACAGCAGTAGCTACAATAACAGCGGAACACGGTGCCATAAGCTCTCCAACAGAAGACTCATGGTGCAGCAATGCGGAAAAACTAATCATTAGAGAAAGGAGGAATTCACAAAAAGATTTTTGCGTCTTGGTACTTGACTTGGGATCTCCGATGACGAACGGGTAAACAATGATGAAAGCCGACTGGGATGGCAAACTATCAGATTTACTGGATGAGAGCAAGGGTCCGTTCATGCCGGTGAATGTGGTGATATGCAGACGAGGCTTTTTTCGCAAAGAGTAAAGAGCGGCAGGGGGAACAAGGCAGTCAGTCATATTGCCTTCATCGCCGATGAGCTCGTATCTGCCCACAAACTAGGAAATGCATTTCCAGGCAGGTATTTTTCACACTGAAATCGGATTACGAAGCTAAGCCACAAACGGCATTAGCTCTCTGTGCACTTCCGCGGAGCATTCCGCTTGGCACCTTGAGCGTCAAAGTGAAGTTCAGTTGTTACGATTTCATCCTGTTGTGGAAACTAGCAACGCTTCTACTTCGACTTCGGCTTCTTCCCCATCACCCTGCATCGCTTGCCGCGCCAGCAAAATGTTCGGTATGCTTCAAGCTCACAGGCTGCTGTCACTCAAGCCTGAATTGTCCAAAAGAAGTCATGTTCATGCACCACATTTGCTGGCCTGTGAAACGGTAACACCAAGGCGTGTGCAAAATTGGCATTCAAGGTGTGAACATGCTACGGTGTGCAAATGGGGCAATGCATTGATGCTTACTGTGAATGGTCAAGGACATAGATAAGACAATGTCGGAGTCCTGCGGTTACTACGGTGCCATCTCGCTAGAGCCTCACATTTCATTCAAATTCATGGTTAGATCAAGTGCCATCCCACTGGACCTGCATGCAGAGCAGTATGCACAGGCTTAGGAGGTTTCGGTGGGTCGTCCAAGAACGTTCTCTGGCACAACGGACAATTGACGTGCCAACCTCTATACCATCTGTCCAAGCATTCTTGGTGATAGATATGCAAGCAGGGAAGCTGTCGAATCATGTCTGAGCCATTCAATCCCTCGAGACATATCGCACTGCAAGTACGCAGTCAGATGGCGTTCTGCTTGCTGGATCACTAGAATAGAGCTCACCAAGTATATTGCATGCTTGCCAGGTCATCAGTGGTACTCCTATGCTTCTTTGCCCACTCTTCCAATGTTTGGGCTTTGGCAGAATTTTCAAGCCGGTTCAGTCTTGCACTCGCTCCTTTTGACTCAGCCGTCCTTGCAGCTTCGATGTCGCGGGCGGCTATGCATCTTCGCAGCCAGAAGCAGAAGCTATTTTGGTTAGCAGCCCGCAAGTTCATGTTGTGACTACTTGCATTAGAACAACAATGAACACTACCGTCACACTAATCATCGGAATTGATGCCATATATCCCGGCGGCGACTTCTGTGGTGGCTCGTTGGCTGCGCTGTTGGGTGGGGAGGAGATCCTCGAGTTCGCGGCTCTCACAATCAAGCCATCAATCCGCTGTCCGCAAAGCAAGGCTGCCTGCCAAGGGGCCATCAACTATAGTGGCCCCCTTTGATTTCAAGGTTAAATCCATTATCTCAGAGACAAATGGTAGGGCTCCTCTACCTCCTTATGGCGCAGCGATCTGCAGTATGCGGGTAAAAGGCAGAATGAGTCACAAAATGTTCTGTTCGGCAGCAGCGGCAGTTGTGTTTCCAAGTACCCAATTGTCACTTACTGCAAGCCGTGAAGACACGTCTGCATCGAGCCCGTGGCTGCAGCGAGCAGTGATGAAAGACTGGCAACGCAGCTTTAGCCATATTGCCCACTTTAATCGACTGCGGAGACATCAGAGCCAGGACAGCATGATGAACAAAAGCAGTAAGGAGGTTGGTCAGGTGGTACTCCTAATGAGCTTTGGCCACGGGCCTCTCAGGCCACGTAAACTTACCTCTGTGGAACAATAAGCAGGATGAGAATACGAACGAGGGCAATTGCAGGCAGTGCTTACCTCAATTGCAGGACAGGGCTCTTAACGCGTAGTTACGTAGTATTCCTTTTTCTACTGTAGTGGCCTGACCTCATTCAGGGACATTTACAATTCTACGGGCGGTGGCCAACCAGTCAGTCAGTCTGAGAAACTTGATCCTTACAGCTAGTAAGTAAAATCAAGTCAGGTCTTCAGGGCAACGTCCGTCGTCCGGAGAATCAGGAATTCAGCACCCTGTCCGGAAAGTCCAAGGTTGCACTGCGATTTACTGGGTAGCTTAATCTCCACAATTTTCGCCAAATGGTAAAGCGTTCCAGAGATCGTTACGGCATCTCAAAGTGTGAGCTCCGAATCCCTCTGCGCCAAAAAAAAAGCCACCCCGTAAGGTGAGCAGCGCCTTCCGCTGAGCGTAGCCAGCCATGGAAGGGACATCGTCGTGGAGATGCCCGCCAACATGCGACATGCGCTCTGCATTGTGACTGATGCTAGCGCATGCGAACCAGTTCGCACCGTCTGCACCGTTCAGTTTGCCTCCGGTGCATGTGAAGTCCCATAACCCATTTACTGAAATCCGCATAACTTGTTCTCTTTCCCCATTCTCTCACATTCCAAGGACCAGGGGCATTCTCCAGTGGATTACTCCGTATATCCTGCAGACCTAGCTGACGCGCCCAGCTACAGCGTCCTAGCTCTTCCCAAAGAACAGGAAAATAAAACCACCCACACACAACACTGCAGTGCACATCACCCCTTGCCCCGCATCCAGTGACCGAGATTTCTCCATCTGCACTGCAATGATCGACCCCGCATTTCACGATCCTATTAGCGAAGTGGTCCCGAAAAAGGAGATGCCCGAGATGCCAGCACTGCAGCATACTACGTACATCGCTCTGCCAGTGGGGTTTGAGCAGATAAGCGAAAGACGATTCAGGTTCAACCTTAAATTTTAGCGCTGTGATCGAATTCTACGATCACCTACCGCTTTCTCGATCTGCTTCTACCGCGGGAGAGAGAGAGTAAGCAGTAAGAAAGTAGACTTGATCATCAAGAGCGGTAGGAATTGAAAAACCCAGTATTTGGATTTTCAACCCCTCTGATGCTAGGGGTCACCTGGTTACGGTGCAACATCCGCAATATCGCTTTGGGGAAATAGAGTCTGCTTCCCTTAGGCGCAGATTTGGAGCAGTGTACGAACTGAGCATGAGATCTGAATTGCCTTCATTCGCCAGTTGGCCTTTGGGGTCATGCTTTCAATTGTCTAATGCAGAGACTATGCCAGAGCATAGCGCTCGGTTCAGTGAATTCTTAAAAGTTGCCGGTATTTTTTCATTCTTCTACAATCCCCACACAACAGTCTGCTATTGAAAAACACATCTACCAGTTAGGTTCGAAATCTAAAAGCGCTGTCCATTACAACATACCATATCCTAGAGAATTTCTCATACACGCTTGCCTAGAACATGCTTTTGAGCCCTTCTTGAGATTCCGAAAAAGAAAGCCGCATGATCATCTAGAGATCCGTCTTGATCTTCTTACATATCTCGAAATCTTGCGTGCAGATCACTTTCATGGTGAGATTTGAGGACTTCCTAAAATATGTACGTAAGTTACACGAAGATTTTCTTCAGGAAAATGGCCTTTGGTTTTAGTGCAAAACGGTGCCCGGTGATGAATTGACACAGACTGCTGTCAAAACGCTGTACTACCGGGGAGACAAAAAGATTCGTAGCTCGGCGCTAGAAACTCCATGTAAAATTACATGGTCACGTAAATGAGCCTTACTGTGGTGAGGATAGAGTGCTCGGAATAGTCCAGTTGGGACTAGTCCGTCTTGTTTGATTCAAGCTGTCCAACATTGACAGGGATGACCCCACAAGATTGACAGGCCTATCTGTATTCAGAACGTTCGGAGTGGCGAATACTGGCGCCGAGCTACGAACACTTATGCCTCCCCCCCAAGTAGTTTAAAATCTAAGTTACAGTTTCACTCCATCACAAGATACTAGCCCACCTTTTCGCTTCGCTTATCAGAGATGCACCGCATATCTTTATCGCAACAAAAACCCCCGCACTTTGACATCAGTCAACACGAGCGCCAAGCCGAAACCGTGCAGGAGAATCCCATACTATCGATCAGCAATGCACCCCAGAGAACTGCCTCCCTTGCAGGTGATTGCGTAAGTTAGCCGATCTTCCCCAACCGGGGTGCCGACGAGCCAATCAGCAAGCTCTGCTCCTATCCATCCACATCTGCCTTGGTTACTCCAAAGCAAAATCCCTCGAATCGATATTCGATGGCTCCCTCTCTCCGGCGCAGCTGCTGCATTCGTCGTCAGATTCGCAGCCATGGACCTTTATCGCTGATATAGCCACAGACATTGCGTCTCGAAAGCCATCTTCTGCTTCTGCTTCGTCATCTGAGCAGATGGCGCTGTCGAGATCGTGGATCGTGGATTGTGCTTGTGCTTGTGCTTGTGCTGCTTTAAAGCTATTTGTTAACTCCTTGTTCTTCTCTTCAACAGTTGCGCTCTGCTCCCCTTCTCGTTGGTAGCTTGCTTCGCATCTATCTTGTCGGCTGCTGTTGTTGCAGGATAAAGCCCAGCGTCGTTGTCCCCATGATGGCCCTGAGCTGTGCTGATAGTCTCGTTGCCACGAATTCTCTGCGTGTGTTCAAGCATGATGTGTGCTGAAACCCTCGCATCACCAAAGAGCATCCGCTGCATGGCTTTCTCCACGCGGCAATGCTTTCGCCAGTCAGCTTCGCCACCGGCATCGTAGGAGACATGGTACATTGGTATGCCGGAGGCTTTGCTCTGATCATTTTTGATTGGTGTTGTGTCCCCCCGTACTACCTCGTTCACATCTACAGGTGGCTCCGACACCTTAAGCGACAGCTGTTCCTTGTCCAGGTCTTCATAGGTAGACTCGTCCCGAGCGAGCATCGGCGGCTTCGAGAGTGAGGAACGTCGGCGGGTAAGGCGCGTTTTCTTTGGACTGTGGATGGGACAGTCTTTGCTGTTGAGATGGAGCGCATCAATGTCCGGGCAGAAGTGGTCTTGCGCTATATCACGGCACAGGTGGCCACAGATATATGCCTGGACGAATTTGTGTTGGTTTGTGGTCAGGCCGCATTTTCGACATTTGGGTAGTTGGGAAAAATCCTCTGAGGTTGGAGATAAAGGATGGTCGAGAGAAGGTAGGGATTCTGGTGAAGCTGGGTTGATGTTTGCTTTCCATTGGTTCCAGTTAAAGTCGTTGTCTTGGGCTTTGTTTGGAGTTGTTTCTGGGGTTGCCAGATGGAGCGAAGGCCTTTCTGAGACCTTGTATTCATGCTCGGGAAGATTTTCGAATGGAATCATTGCGTCGTAAACTGTCATGTTGCTGGGACTCGGATTAATGGGTTGTTTCTTGTTGGCGTGAAGTGAGAGCAAAGGAGATGTTGCTAACCTACTATTTATCTATTTATGTTTATGTATTTATGTATTTATATTTGTCTTGTGTAACCATCGATCCCACCGTTCTCGGTGCTCGCCACTTCTCGCGCAGACTTGGGATGGTGGTCGAGGATAACTGGATGTCCATGGGACAGTCACAAGCGTTTCCCGCCTGTACCCCCCAAGAGTCTTAACATGGTCAAAGCTTTATCCTGGCCTGCATATCAGGCCATCAGGAAGCCATAACGGTGGTGGCTAGCATCATCCCGCCGACCAGACCAGTCCATAAGCAGACCACAGCAAGTCTTGTATCTATTTCTTAGTAGCAATAGAAAACCAGACCCAGGTATCAACGAAAATGAACAGGATTGATTGAATATCTGCTTTCCACAACGTTCAATGCTGGCGAAGGCTCCGGAAACATGAGGAGCTTGCCACCATAGCAAGATGGGTGTTACGAAATAGCTTATTGATGCACGGGCCCCATGCGGGATCCCTGCCCGGGTAGAACCATGTTGCCCCAACATTTGATAATCTCGATCATGGAATAGAGGAGAAACTATGCCAAGGAAAGGGATACCTGCAGGTCTCGACTGATATATGAGTAGCCCCCCAATTCCTGTTCCATTGAGCATGAAGCACACACAAGCTGCTACTATTCTAAACCGTCTTGATTTGAAAAACACACCTGAAGAAAGTATCGACTTTAACAGCGGTCCATTGACTCTTTTGAGATTGTGACCCGCAGGCCACAGCTCTTCAAAATGCCCGTGGACGATCTGCTGGAATGGGCAGCAGAGACGAGCCGCCATGGCTCAGGACGACCCAGTACGTATACGTCAAATAAATCCACAGACGAACCTCCCTCGTACACAGAATATCGGTCAGTGGTTAATCGACCTCCATCACCGGCTCCAAGAAAAGGTCGTCTGGCAAGATGGCAGGACGTGGGCCACTGCGCCGCAGCTTGTTCCGGCCGCTGTAGTGTGCATGCTGCGGAGCAGGAACAACAAGAGGCGCTCCACGCTGGAGATAGCTCTCTTCGAGGTGTGGCGGAGGCGTTGCAGACACAACACAGGAGGCATCGTGGTAATGGACGACCCAAATTTCAGAGGAATGACAGCAGTCAGAATTCGCATCGGAGCTCGAGTCCAATGCCCAGGACATCTGCAGGAAAACAGCGGAAAAGTCGACTTGATCTGGCACGGGAGGCGCTCCTTAATGGTAATGTGACAGTTGCACGCGCGATCGTGGCGCAGGAGCTGGAACGGCTGGGTATCGCTGAAGACAAATGATGGGAGATGTTCGCACTGAGATTGCACAGGAGTATGGTGTCACTTGTTGCAGCGCGGTGTTCAAAGGTCGTTCGACAGAAGCATTTAGGGAGTGGAGGCAAGGCTGGAATAACATCCTTCTAGTGTTAGTATCCGTATGAAAGGCGACTTTCCGTCATATCGCCACATTTACGAACTACGTATCAAATACGAGTCTTTTGCCTTCCTCGTTCTTTTCAGACATAGAGGACTCCGTCCATCGTTGTTGTTGTTGTGATAGGTGTCTTTGCTCAGCCTACCTGATAGAGCAACAATGTGTAGCGCATGGATGATTAAAACTTGTATTCGACCGCGTTGGAGGCATTCGCCGCTGTTATTGGGCACCTCTGTGACACCAATTGGCTATGTGCTCCAATCATGCCGCTAAGCTATGTCGGTGAGTGGGCTCCAATCTTCAGTGTTATGCAAAGCTTCATTGTGGATGAAGAGTACTTGTTCTTTCTTCTGCCTGGCGGCTGATTCTGCGAGCGCAGATGACCAGGGCAACCAGCATCGCAGCTGGCAGGAAGGAAGACGGGAAGGAGGACGAGAATGAATGAATGAGGAAACGAGACGACCCAGCGTGCCAAGCCTCGACCTACTACGTACTAGTACTAGTTAGTACGTAGATGATCTGGTCATCGGAAGTCGCCAGCACCAAAATAGCAGCAGCCTTCTCCGTCTATCCAACTACACATTGTAACCGTCTACTGCAATCTATCTCGCAAAACAACGGAAAAGCTACTTCGAGCTTGCACATGTCCGATGAATTTCTACTCAAGAATGGTACATCAAGGTGATGTTAGGTTCTGCTCGAGTGGTAGCTCTACACTCCCTTCTAGTAAAGGACATTTCTTCCCTGGCATTCCATACTACTGTTGTTGCATTCGTATCCCTTCTATATATGACCTACACCATCCATTGATCCTTTCGTACATTTTACGGTTCCCTCCCAAAACTGCACACCAACCAACAAACACAGCCATGATGTATATTTGGTCTGCTCTATTTGCCACATTTGCATCTTCAGAAAACACATATATGTGCTCCCACTGCTCTCACCCATCCAGCCGACTTAGCCATTGCCTTTCGACCGCGACCTAACGCTCTATCATCGTCCTTTTGAATTTCAAATAGCATATTCATCAACCGCAAGATTCAACTCGCCTCAATCAATAATGCATTTCACAGCCGCAGCCATCTCCACCCTTGCGACACTCGGCTTCATCTCAGCCAGTCCAACACCCATGGCCGCTCCAGCTGACCTGGCCGCTCGAGCCTGTACCACCATCCAACCAGCCTACATCTCCTACTTCGAGAAAGCCACACCAACGGAGTCTACCTCTGGTTTCGGCAATTACCGTCTTGCCCGCACCGGCGGCCCGAACTCCAACACGATTAAATCTGCCTTTCGCTTTGACAATATCCCTGCCGGGGCGACCGGTTGCATGTTGCAATTTCGGCTTGGCGCCGGTCAAGAACCTGCGGTTGGAGCCAACGATGCCTCTCTATTTACGGTGGAGGGCCAGGTGGACGAAACGACGAACTGGAACAACCAGCCCATCAAGGATGCCCAGGTCAGCAGTCTGCAATTCCCAACCACTAGAGCACCAGAGGCATACGAGACCATTGTCTATGCCAGCACCTGCCCAGAGAGTGGTAGTGTGAGCTTCTTATTGGAGGAGAGTGATTGGCAGCAGAATGCTGGTTCGATTGCTTTCCGTCAAGGTCCGGCCAGCGGCTTCTCAATGATATACAATTGCTAGATGGAGAGGTATGATCGACCGTATGGGGAACTGTTAATGTGTCTCTTAGCAATCAATATCTGGCTTCGAACAGTGGGAGATTAGACTAGAATACGGTTGTGTGTATGTTCCAGAGATTTCGTTAATAACTTTTCATCTACATCTTTCTTTGCCTAGAATTTTAATCGAGTACTTGGGAGTGTTGATATTGCTTCTCCAATGGAAATTGCAAAGCGCAATCGACTAGTCATCGAGGACTGTTGCAATTGATTGACTCGTAACCTACGATCCTAGTGAGTAGTCGCCTATGAAGCCATGGAGTGGAGCCGAAGAATGATTGACGAGTCTCACCAACCTCAAGTTTCCATGACTGGCGCTGGTCTGGTGTGAAGTAGGCAAAAGCGCCGAGTTCTTCTTTGCTGATCATTTACTTCAAGGGGGGGACCAGCACAAGCTTTCCAAGACATCTGTATCCGATGTCAGGTTAGATGACCACGATGGACTTAGCCCCCTGTGACATACTGCTGCCATACTCTTTACACCAAGATCCAAAGGTTTATATCTGTCACAATCCTGACAATATCAGGCACTGACGTTGAATGATGTGGCATTCGATAACCCAAAGATGGTTGAGACGAAGAGCAAATAACAACATCCTATTCCTTGACACCCTAAGCTTCTCTCCTGTGAGCAGTGTAAATACCCGGGGGAGAGTTCCATCCTGTGTTCTCTGCTCCGTCTTCTGATTTGTTTTTGCTTGCTTCTCAAGAGCGCTCTTTGGATGATAGGCAGCGTGTCAGTGTTATCTGATGGCTTTCACGCGCTTTGTCTTCCCAATTCGCTTTCTACTATGAGGTTTTTATTGCTGAAACGGCGGGTAGGAAGCCTCTGAAGGCCCTATTTCGGCTTTGGTGGCCTTTGAAAGTGTTTCAAACTGATCGGTTGGGGTGCTTCTGCCACGTCTTGCATGACGCCCGGATGCAATAACTATGGTGTAGGAGCTGACCTAGGCGGAGAGAGGTCTGATCTGTAATCACACCACTCTCATTCCTCCATGGTTCCATATATCTGTTCACTGGAGTCAGTATAGTGGTATGTGGGATCTGGTATATGATTGGAGAGACATTGAGAGATGTCCAGCTAGAGTAATGCGGAAGATCAGCAGATGGTACGGGTGAGGGAGGGCTGAGGCCAAGGAGCAGAAGCACTGTCTCATACATTCTGTCAGCATGCGTGAGTGCATTCACAGAAGGCAATGCGCTTAGTTGGGATCAGTTGAACGTCCAAGAGTGACCACTTTTCGGTTATTCCTCCTGCCAATCTATACCCTCGTCATCAGAAGTGTGCTATACCTTGGGAGCCATGAAAAGATACCCTAGCGCCTCATGACATGCTAAATCTGTGCGCAGATTAATACTGTACAGTCAAAGGAGCCCTTTCGCCCCGAGAAGTTAGCAGCATCCACCACCCGCTCCTCTCTGTCCACTTTTCATTGCATCATTCAGACCCAGTGTGACTGTCTTTTGGGGTGCTCCGGCTTCCCTACCTCCACCCGTCCCATATCCCTTGACTCCACTTCTTCGATCGTTCAGATCATATTTCCCCGCCTCGATATTCTGATACACCCTTTCCGCCACTTCGAGGAACGCTCTCTCCACGCCTTCTCCAGATTTCGCACTCGTCTCGACATACCGCATCACACCCTCTCGCTTGCACCATTCTTCGGCTTCTTCCCTGGTGACTGCTCGTCTGTTGTCGCCTGCCTTGTCTGCGAGATCGCTCTTGTTGCCCACCAGTATTACAACGATATCGTCCTCTGCGATTTGGCGTAGATCATTCAGCCACCCCGTTGCTGACTCGAAGGTCGAGCGCCGCGTGATGTCGAACACTAGCAATGCGCCAGATGCGCCTCGGAAGTATGATCTAGTGATGGACTTGTAGGTCTCCTGGCCAGCGGTGTCCCAGAGGCTGAGCTGAACATTCAAAGTGAGCTTGACCCGTATGAACAGAATCCATTCGATAAACTCTGCCTACCTTCATCTTTTTCTGTTCTTGATCGCCCTTTGCCTTCCGCTGTGGCCCCGGACTTGTGGGTCCAGACATACCGCCAATCGGCGCCGACGATGGATCGTTGATGTGGAGAGCAGCATTAGCAGGAGGACCAACTGGGACGATGCGCGACCCGAACTCGACGCCAATGGTCACATCGTGACTGTTGACAAAGCGACCTTCACAGAGTCGAATGGTAAGGCTAGACTTGCCGCAGCCACTGTCACCGATACAGACCAGCTTGCTGATGTAGTGCCATGGTGGAGGAGCTGGCTCGGAGGAGACTGGCATGAAGAGGTTGGGAAATAGGAGAAATAGGATAGTGGAGGATGCAGGTGGCTGTGGCGAGCTTGAGGTTCTGGAGGCAACGAGGTCACCTAAATAGCTTCAAGGTATTTCAAGATGCAGTAACATCATCAGCCGGCATTCTGGTAGCTGAAATACTGATCCCGGCATGTCCTGCAAGATGTAGACATCTAGTAGCGTAGTAGCGTAGTAGCGGGACATTGTGGAAGTCCACATCCATTGTCCGCAACCGCAACTTGGCTGAGTCATTCGAGAGGTTGAGTTTCACCGCCGCAACAGGCAACACGCCAAATGCATCATCATACATAGCATACTCTCATCCATATCAAAGTTTAATGCTCATCACTTCTACATACTCACACAAGTGTGCTGTTGATGTGCCCACGTTGCACACCTACCACCTACCGTGACCATATCGGTCACTTGCCAGCCCGTTCGCCTGAGTACCGACTTATCGTGTGACTGAACTGCAGTGTCCGCACTCTGCTCGACATCTACTTCAGGCGCCTGCGGGCGCTCGAGCGACAATGTTCTCGGAGTGTAAGCTCCTTCTTTTGTAGAAGAAGTATCACTGTGCCAAATGTCTAACTTCAGTCTAGATGCCTCCAAGTTCCTGGCACAATCACAGTCGCGCCTCAGCTTCGCCGGAACTGATCGGCCAGCACCAGATCGATCGCGAAGACAGAACAACCAGACAGGATGGCGAGCTTCAGCCGCTTCGAAACCGTACATTTCTAGGATCGGCAATCCGTACCAGCCATCCTCCTCACAAGTCTCTGGTTTTCCCTTCTCGTCTCGCCTGCATCCACAGCAGGCCCCGCTCTTCTACAGTGCAACCGATGAGTTCAGAGAGAACAATGACGAGGAGGAGCATGAGAAGGAGCTGGCAGACTACTATGCGTTGCAGAAGTCAAGACGGCAGCTGGGAGGGAAAGATCTGGAAGAATCGTCCGAGCTAGAAGATGAAGGGAGCAGGAGCCTAGGTACTGGTGATGATGGACGGGAAACAGATGATCGAGGCTTCGGAAGGGGAGGAGGGATCAGGAGCTCGTGGAGAGGTGACTACAAATCTGGGAGAGGTCGGGGCAAAGATGTCGACCGGATGGCGGAACAGCTAGAAGCAGACGGCAACGACGGACGAAGTGAAAGAAGCAGTCGAAGCCAGGCCAGAATGGTCGATGTTGGACTTGAAGACACCATGAGAAGCGACCTCGATGATGACGAACCCCTGCCAAACTACATGGATGATCCCCCTTCGATACAACAGTTCGGAAAGCCGCTCCGCGCGTCGCATCCACGATTTGGCGTCGACTCAACAGTCTTTCCTCACGAAACAGACCAGCAGACTCTGCTGGAACATCCCAGACCACCATCCTCGTCCGGTGATGATGTTCCTGCTCTCATGGCTCAGGTAGCTGCCGACCCACCTTGTCATGACGCTTTCTGGGGCCACCTCTACCTGCTGTGCCTCGCAGCCACATTCGCGACCTGGTTCCTGGTCTGGCTCCACACCAATGCTCCCAAAACTCCCCTCGGCGACACGGTATACACGACTCTGCATAGATCCTTCCACCTCTTAGCGATTTATACCCTTGTTTCGATTTTCGTTTCACTGCTGTGGTTAGCGGCATTGCGATCGTATGTGCGACCTGTTGTTTACACCATTCTGATCAGCGTCCCCGTCATCCTCTACTCCTTCTCGTTCTACTCGTTCGTCTCCAGCTTCAAAGGCACCCGGTCCGCATCCAGCATACAGGACACGGTGATGAGATGGACCGCCTTCATACCGGCAGCCCTGGCAACACTCTGGATCCTCTGTGTCATTCGAGGCCGTCACTCCCTTCACAAAGCCATCTCCATCCTAGAATTCGGCACCCGTATCCTCGCAGCCAACTCGGCTCTTCTTGCACAAGGATTCGCCGTCCTCGCCCTCATCGTCTCCTGGACCTGGCTCTGGCTCTCCATGTTCACGCGCGTCTTCCTCGGAGGGCACCTCTCCACACGTTCGTCGGTCGGCCGGTTCATAATCGACGCCTCAACCTGGTGGTTGGGAGCCTACTTCATCCTCATGTACCTCTGGACCATTGCCATGATCTTCGGCATCCAGCGATCCGTCACCTCAGCCACAGTCTCACAGTGGTACTTCCACCGCCTCGCCGTGCCCGCGCCCACAAGCCTAACAATCGTCCAGGCAGCCCTCACCCATGCCCTCACCACCCTCTTCGGCACCATCGCCCTCTCCACAGGCCTGAGCCTGCTCATCCGCCTCCCCCTCCTCATCCTGCCCCGGCGTATCGCATTCCTCCTAAGCGCAGCGACATATTCATTCATTCCCACCCCCGTCGTCGCGCTCATCAATCCACTAACCCTGACATACGCATCCATCCACTCTCAACCGCTAAGCACATCGGCGCGCGGTCTCTCACAGCTCCACTTCCTAGGCTCAACAGCAACCAACAACGCCGCAACGACCAGTCTCTATCCCAACACCTTCTCCTCCCCTCCTTACCATGCCGCCAGCAACAGGCGCGGTGGAGCAAGCGATGGCTGGACCTCCAACACTACCCCCTTGCTACCCTACAGACTAGCAAAACTTCTCCTCCACGCCACCCGCCTCATCATGTCCCTAGCCCTCGGCTTCGGGGGATGGGTCTCCACTGCCCATTCTCTCAGAATATCCGGGAGCGTGAAGGGTAGTTTGTACGCGTATATTGTCGGCCTGATTGCCGGCGCGATCGGGTGGGGAGTCTTGGGCAGTATGGAGGGTGTGCTTGCGGGGGTGGTGGATGCGGTCGTCGTCTGTTGGGGCAGTGAGGTAGGGAATCCGCTTGCTGGTGGGAGAGGGGAGGCGAGGTATTGTAGGGAGGCGGGATGGTTGTTCGGTGGTGAGGAGAACGGAGAGGCTGGGGTGGGTGGTGCAAGGGGAGAGGTTGCCCTACCGTGATTTTCGTCGCGCAAGTGACGGGGATGGATGGGATGGGATAGAAAATGGAAGTATTCAACCGCTCTTCTGAAAGGACATTGATGGTGGGTTTGAAGTATACTTGATTGATGAATCCTTCCCGACCGGGATGAGACGGGATGACACGCAATGGGTTAGGTAGCGTTGGTGTCTTGTCTGGTCGGTGGCATCGGGTTCGAGGCGCGTGCATGAGCATGGCGCTTGGGAGTCTATCATTGAGATAAGTGAGGAGAGTAAAGTGTAGTGGTCAGTCCGGGGACATGTATACAATATAACGCCCTCTGAACCACGTCACAACAAGCCTGCCAGCCAGCCAGCCAGCCAGCCAGCCAGCCAGCTAATCTCTCACATACACAACACGTCGATATACCCTATGCTTGCTTTCATCCTGTCATCCTGTCAGTACGCTGAAATAACGCCCATCAATCCTCTAGCTCTTATCTCTAAACATCCCCATCCAGCCATCCATCCATGCTATCAACTCTGTTCTCGTAACTGTCACCGATCCCGCTCTCCTCTCCTCTCATCCTACCCTTCCCTTCCCTTTTCTTCACCCCCACCACCACCACGAGCTGCCATAGCAGGAGCAGCAGGAGCAGCAGCAGCAGCAGCAGCAGCGATAGATGTTGACATCTGTACATCAAGAACTCCTTCGCAACCATACAGGCAAGCAAGCAAGCAGGAGAGCAAGCGAAACCCAGAAACCAAAACCCAAGAACCAAGTAACCAAAGTTCACGGCTAGCTGGCTGAGTTGAATGTTGTTGACTGGGCTCTGGACCTGATTAAGCATGTATGGTGGCGTCTGCGGTTGGTGTTGCAAAGTTTGTTTGTTTTTTTTTTCAAAAAAAAGGGAGCGGGACGGTGGGTGATGGACGGATAGAAGGGGGGCGAGTATGGATGCATACGGGGCGGTATCTGTGCTTTTTTTCTGAGAGAGGGAAGGAAGGAGTGGGAGGCTGATATCGTTTGATGATGGGCCGTCTTGGTCTTGTTGTCTAACTGGATGGGTGGGAAGGAGTTGATGGGGGTGGATGGCGAAGCTGATTTGGTCGTGGGCAAGAGAAGGGAGGGATTGGGAAGGGGGAAGAGTAAGAGAGGGATGGAGAGATGGAGCTCTTCGCTCTTCCGCGCTGTAGAACGATATGAAGGAGAATCGACCAAGGAGATTTCTTGACTCGGTGATAGTCAATGATCAGGTACTAGATTCGTCTCGATCAGAGAGGCTTAGCTGAATAGGGGATTCAAGCAAGAACTCAATAGTGTGGATGTAGACAGGGAGTGAGCTCAACCTGCGTATCACGGAAATTTTTTTGTATGGTGTCTTGCATATGTTCTCATCCTTAGCCAGCACCAACATACAACCATGAAACTGGCTACCCTGTATGCGCCCTGCTCGCCAATTGATAAAGGGAATACGGTGGTGATAATAGCTGCTCCTGATCTGTAATCAAGCTCAAAGGCTCTGGACGTGTTTTGGAGTTAACAGTTGATTAGGCGTAAATGGCTCAAAAACCGTACGAATTGGCAACCGCAAGCTTGAGCATGCTTCTCTGAAAATGTGCCTGCTTGTCGATGACATAGATTTGGCGGGATCACGGTATAGCTGATTTGCCAGGGTGGGGAGGATCCGACACCTTTTGCATCATCTTGCCTTCGCCCTTTTTGCCCGGAACTGGTTGATAATCCTCCTCCTCCTCTTCTCCCTCCCCCTGTTCCTCCTTCTTTTCTTCCTTCTTCTCTTCCTTTGGCTGCTCCTCTTTCTTCGACTTCTTCGGATGTTCCTTATGCTCCTTAGCCCTCCTTTTCCGATCCCTCTCCTCCATTTTCTTGATCGCCTCGTCCCTCTCCCTCAATCTATCCTCCTCCTGCTTCACCATTTCCTTCCAGAGAGTATCTCCATCAGATTTCTGTTCTCTCTCCACCTGTCTTGTATGCTTCTTGTGGTCCTTTTCATCGATGTACTCCACTGTTTCGTAGCGTCCCTTATCGTCTTTCGCATCTTGCAACTCAAAACCAGCGGAAGCGATCAAAACGGCCAGTGTCAGACCCTGGGCGTAGACTCTTGCTTGGACTAATTTTTGCGGGCCTGTCAAAGTTGGATGTCTCCCAACAATCGCGAATGCAGCGACCATGCTAGCTACCCAGCTCGCACCAACAATCTTGTATCTCTCTTCTTTCCCCCAAGCCATCGCTCTCTGCGTCCATGTCATGCCAGATATCTCAGCTTGTCTTCTCTCCTCTTTACGTGAGGCGTATGCTTGATCGGCAGGATTGCGAGATGCTTCATAGCTTCGCGATGCATGATCAGCAGCGATAATCCCGGAAAAGGTACCAGCAGATGTTATCAGGAAAGCCTTTAGTGGCAGGGTCAGTTGGTTAAAAGCGGGATAACGACGTGTTGCTGCAACCACTCCAGCGGTTCCAACAGCAAGACCACCAATGACGCCTATTGTGCCGCCTTGGAGAGTAGCCCTGATGAAGTATTAGGACGCCTTGTCAAGCGCAGCAATATTGACAACGACGTAGCAAAGACAATCATGGCGTAGACCGATGATCATATCGAGACTTTCTCGCATGGTACGTACCGATAGTGAGCAGCTTCTTCTTCTTTTGTGAGAAGCTTCATTGTGCAACCGTGGTAGCTCTCTCCAATAGGGGTGGTAAGATGTTGAAGTTGGAGAAGATCTTCTCACTCAGCTAGAGCATTGAGAGAGCTAATTAGTGAGCAGATAAGAGCAGCTGTGTGACCTGTAACGGCATAGCCGGAGGAGGAGGTTGGACGGAGTGATAAGCTCCCCACTTCTCTCTTCTCTCCGCACTCCACCCCCAAGAGCAAAAGCACAAGGGGTATCAGAATCTATTGCGTTTTATCCGATATTTAGCCAAGCAAGCAGAAACCTCCCCGTGCCGAAACGGTTGAATTTCGGTTAAAATGCAATGAATTCTGACACCCCTATGAGAGCAAGAGCTGAATGACATCAGTCTTGGTCAAATATATGATGAACATGTTGACCCAGAAATACTCAAAACATAACCACCTTTAGCATGCGAATCGGAATTTCATCTAGTCCTAGTGCTTGATTGCTTGATCGCTTGTAGCTCACTAGATCACTTTGTGGATTTGCTCAACTGAGATCGTTGACGTTAGGCGTGCTAAGTCTGAGCACCTTTATTAAAGCCAATACCCACACCGAGAGGTAACCATTTGGCTTCTGAGCAACTGGCTTTTCAGGCACCTCTCTTTCCTGGTCTGGCTCAGATAAAGAAATTTTATATCCAAGAGAGCTTGAAGGGCAGGAGTTGCAGGATCCACGTTGTAAGTCTGAATGAACTACCTTGTTTGGAAATGAGTTAGAAGGCTCTCCGTCTCTTTGATCTGTCATTTCCTTATGTCTCTCGTGATCTCGTGATCTATACAGCTCACCACGTTATTCCTTTAAGCATATAAATGCCCTGAATGTTGGAATTGGGTCAGCCAATCCCTGGCCGCGTATGTCACGTGACTGCGTGACTGCGCACATGCCACTCCGCCCAGTATTTAGCCTCTCCTCCTTCTGAGATAGATTCTGAAGGTAGATAGAAGTCAGTTCATCCACTTCATCACTGAAATGGGCACATCAACACGATAATGGCTAGCAAATACACAATGTCTGAACGCACCCTCACCCTTCACCAAATTTTCCACACCCCTGCTCCATATCCTCCATAGGCCAACTGTTCCCATTGCGGTTCATTATATGGCGCTCTCAGTCAGCGGTCAAAGTGACAAATGGGCATCCTCGTTGACCACCATAGCACGCTGCGCTAACGGTGGCGCTACAACCACCTGCCAAAGGGATGCCTGATGACTGCAAGCGAAACCCGTATATACTATCGCTGTTGAGACAGCTACAAGGGCGAAGTGGACACTTTGCCATATGCGGAAATCGATAATAAAGGCACAGGTTAGGAGCAAGACGCCGTACTTGTATAGCAGTTGAAGATGGTAGGTGCTGCGCTGATCGCCTGTGGACAAGGTGACGCGGACCATCTTCCGGTGGTATATAAAGCGATTCCATTCGGCGGGAGTGGTCAAGGATGTGATAACTTTGTTGTAGAAGAGGTTGAGCAGGAGAACGAGGTACTGGAGAAGATTGGCAAGTAGAATGGTAAAGGTAATGTTGGACATCCCTTTTCCAGGAGCCCCAATAGAAAAATTGTTTGCTTTGGATACAGTGATGAAGCCGAGACTCCATTTCTTTTTGGGAAATGGTGTTATATGAGAAGGGAGACTTAAAGATGAAAAGATTCACAATACCTAGGGCGATGGCCTAGCTTGAGGCTGGTAAGTGGGTGGACTAAAAATTCGGGGTATGGGATGGTTGGAACATACAGAATGTTGCATAAAATCCATCACTTTTTTGGTCAGACATTGAACCCAGATAAGCTATTTATCGGTCCTCTGAGGGCCGCGGTCTTTTGGTTCAACAGCACAGCCTACCCCGTCTGAACCCTTTCTCATCTCAACCAGAACAAACGATCCAAGGTCACCTTTTGTGTTCACCCTTACCCTCTACTACCGCAACTCGTTAAAGTACTGCAGGCAAGCGATCAAGCCCCCTATCTTGGAACGTAACACCTCAAATATGTGCAGGAGACAGGAAAACCCACCAAAGAGCGGCTCAGCACATATTGGACTAGACTTTCGTGAAGGCACAGCAGCAGCCTTTTATGTCGACTAAGACATCGACGCTTTTCACAAGATATCCCTCCAGAATTCGCATCTTTTGCCCTCACCGCCTTCCAAGTCCCATGTATTCTAGAGGTTGAGCAAGTTCCTCGGCCACTTTCCCTTGTACAGCACAACCTGAAGCACGCTTCGAACAGTGCTTACTGGAGTCTGCCTAAGACATGTCTGGTTCTGGTTGACCATTGCCTGATCACCGTTCCTTTGCCACTTCCGCCACTTCACAAGGGTTGTTCTGAAAATCCACTTTGACTGTCAGGGCATTTGATGCATACAAGCGGTACTCAAAGTGTACCAGTATTACTTCAAGTGTATATCAAGTCAGTATCTCAGTATCTCGATGAGAGCTTTATAGATGTTTTACATAAAAACTTATGTTAGCTGGAATAGGACTAACCAGTTCCATTGACTAATAAGGAGTGTTGTGCTGTTATGATGGTCAAGAAAAGGTTTGCTATGCGGAATTTGTGCTGGAAGAGTGTCTCAGCAAGACCGCTAAAGAGATACCTCAGTAATGATAATCATCCTTCTTGCCGTCATCCTTGCCGTCATCATTCTTGCCGTCGCCCTTGCCGTCATCATTCTTGCCGTCGCCCTTGCCGTCATCCTTGTCGTCATCCTTGCCATCATCCTTGCCGTCATCATTCTTGCCGTCATCCTTGCCGTTGTCGCCCTTGCCGTTGTCGCCCTTGCCGTTGTCGCCCTTGCCGTTGTCGCCCTTGCCGTTGTCGCCCTTGCCGTTGTCGCCCTTGCCGTTGTCGCCCTTGCCGTTGTCGCCCTTGCCGTTGTCGCCCTTGCCGTTGTCGCCCTTGCCGTTGTCGCCCTTGCCGTTGTCGCCCTTGCCGTTGTCGCCCTTGCCGTTGTCGCCCTTGCCGTTGTCGCCCTTGCCGTTGTCGCCCTTGCCGTTGTCGCCCTTGCCGTTGTCGCCCTTGCCGTTGTCGCCCTTGCCGTTGTCGCCCTTGCCGTCATCTTTCTTGGCATCATCCTTCTTGCCGTCACCCTTGCCATCATCTTTCTTGTCGTCGCTCTTGCCGTCGTCCTTCTTACTGCCGTCCCTCTTGCCGTAGTCTTTTGTCGCCCTTGCCGTCATCCTTCTTACCGTCATCCTTGCCGTCGTCCTTGCCGTCGTCCTTACCGTCGTCCTTGCCGTCGTCCTTGCCGTCGTCGCCCTTGCCGTCATCTTTCTTAGCATCATCCTTCTTATCGTTCTTTTTGTCGTCGTCATTCTTGTTGTAGCAGTACCACTTGCCCTTATCTTCCTTCCACTCATTCCCATATTTCTCGCACTCCTTCTTCTTGTCGTCGTAGCATCCATAGACGCCATCATAATTCTGCTTCCATTCGTGTCCGTATTTCTCGCAGTCACTCTTACCGTCAGGGGTAGGGCGGGCGACAACAACTGCTGTGCCCAGCGCTAGAAGGGTGACAAGTGCCTTGAGCTGCATCTTAGCGGTTGATGAAGTTGTGCTTATTTGCTATTGAAGGTGAAGTAGGCAAAGAAAAGGTGTTAGAATGGTGAATCGATCAGACCGCGTGGCAATGTAAGAGGAGGGAAGGGTGGGCGATGATTCCCACTTGAGTCAGAGAAGGGTTGATGGTGAAGATTGATCCGTGAGATGGGAATGAAGATGTGACCGAGCGCGAGAGCACGTATTTATACATCCTCTTCTCTCAAAGCAACTTGTGTCGGAGGTTAGTCAAAGTTCCAGCTCCGGACAAGTGGGTAGTATCTGAACCAGGAGCTGTTGGTATGCTGGGAAAGAATATTTTCTAAACTCTCAAGAGCTACATTCGGACTCCAGAAATTCTGAAACTTATCCTATTGAGATATTGCACCGGCAGAGAGCTCGCAGATCAGCACCAGCTTCACCCGATTAGGATGATCAGAACCGGCAACCACCCAGGAAATGGCAGTTCTCTTGCTGCATGCTGCACCAGGTATTGCATTCCGCGTAGCTCCCTTGTAGCTAGGCCTAGATCGACCCAAAATCTGTGAAACATGACTTGTCCTGGCTCACGAGAATTATCAGCATTGAGGGGGCCGAAGCGGGGATGGATTGAGAACTCAAACCGGGGAGTTCGAGAGTCGCAACCGATGAACCTCCAAGCTTCTTTGTGGCTTATTACAGGGTGTAGTTGCAACGATCGACTTCGATATCCCACAAGAGTTCGTGAACTGTGCCTCTCAGAGGTCATGCCAGCACTTCTTCTTCCACTAGCATAGATCAACCATAACGGATCCGGCTGAGCCGTCTTGGGTAGACCGTTGAGATCATGGAGGTAGTCCCGAACCCTCGAGGCTCTCACGAAAACAAAGCATTAATCCACCAGCTATGTGGCTCGAGAATCTGCAGAGTTAGAAAATGCTTGGCATTTACGTATAAATACAGGGTTGCAGATCGCAGATTCGTTCTTGGCGCAGCATAACACTTCACTTCGTTCCAACTGTGTTGGAAGGATCTGAGGAACATAGATCCTGGCAGCCGGCGCCAGCTTGGCTGTACAACTTGAAGACTTTTTTTAGAGCCGACCTCCAATGCTCAGCCTAGTAAAGGTCGTCATCCCACCAGCTTAAGGTTAACCGAGACGACGGCGCATTACTCGACATGATGGTGTTGACAAGCCTGCTTATTCTCAAAAGCAGAGAAGCTCAGCAGGAAATCGTAGTAGCTAAGGCTGGCCAGATGATGGAGTAAGCACGACGTGCGGCTGTCTTAGGGTCTTCCAAGCCTACCTGCCGCCTGGCGATGAACCCGGACACGAACCCAATCCTTCCACAGTTTCATGGGTCCGGTGGACCGACAATATGCGGCTTTCTGGTGATCACTTACTCATAGAAGCGCGGATATTGGTGCAGGGGCAATCGAGTGAAAGGATCGTCCTCCCGAGATGCCAGAACTCAAAACATGCCGAACTGCAGGACACACCAGCCTTAGCATATGGGGATAAGGGTGCTAGCCTGACCAGCTTGGTGTCCACGTAGCGAGTTGGCCAGACCCGATCCGGGAACGAAGTCGAAAAAGGATTTGATCTGCAAGGGAAGCATCAGAAACGGCAGTTTGCGGGGATTTCTCTGTCGGAAGCTCGGAAAGTAGAAAGCAGATCAGGAAGGCTTGCCCGGATTCGCAGTTATGACAAGGAATACTCTTTAGTCAGCAACTCTATCGTAGACATCGAACGGGGGTGATTCAGTGAACATCCGTCCCCTGCTGCATTAGGAATATGCTGGTCGTGCAGAGTGATCACACCCTGCTTCAAGCAGGCGTACTCCATTGATCAGAAGCGAGAGTCATACAGACAAGGCCTACACGGCTCTCTGTGAGCCTCCTGCGAATGGGTTCCAACACAAGGTGTCGTGGGAAAAAGCTCAAAGGATCATGCAGGGCAAATTACCCACTACTTTAGCCCTATGTGGCTCTAACTTACCCCCAACTTAGTTGGTCAACCTAGACACTCTCGGGTCTGCTAAATCAGCTGGCTCGGATTGTCCACGTTGTTCCGCCAAAGCGGTCCTCTGGTTCAGGGGCTCGCACTCCGCTAACCAGATTGGGCCGCTGCGGCTGTTCTTCCTATGCAGCTGCCTAGTTAATTTCCAGCATATTGAACATTGTTCATCCGTTCTGGGAAACACTGTAGTTTCTTGCACAGCGATAGTGCAGCCGTCAAGACAAGGCAAGGCGAGGCAAGACGATTATACGCCTTGCTTTCTCCGATCAGAGAAGACTTCATTCTTTGAATACCTCAACTTACCTCGAGTTGAATTGATTCGTGATTCATCAGGCTCGGCTTCCCCAGTATCACCAAGACCCTAAGTATTCCTTTTCGGGGAAAGCACACTGCGGCCGGGATCTTTTATTGATGAACATAGTTAAGGAAAATGTCGCGTAATTGAGTTTATTAGCCACTTTTGATGTGGCTGAATTGCCAGATCCATATGGTTGACCATAGTCGAGAACAATTTGCAAATGTACCGGTGAGTTAGCTACACATCAAAGTGTTTCAAACAGGATGTGTGCTGTTTTCGTCTTAACCCTGTTCCTCCATCTCAAGAAATGCATACGTGCCGGTTAGGCGGGTACCGCTCCATGGGCCAATCTACCCCAGTTCACACCTTAATGCGGAGTAAGTCTCGTTTCAAGCTGGCCTGTTCGCGGAGGTTACACCACATTTGACGCTGTGTCATCCCAGAGGTCAGGACCATGGATTTCGACCGAGTGGTTGAGTACACTGTTGTAGAACGATTGAAGCTGGATGGATTCAACAGCAACACACAAGGATGGTGTTAATCTTCTAAGAGGGCCTATTGGCCAGGTTTCATACGCGTAAGCCCTGCGGTCCACCTGCTTTTGATTAGTTAAGTTCCACTGCAATTTGGCTTCTACTTTCGCTGTGCAGCACAGCCAATTATACATAGATCTATGCTCTCTAACCCCTTAGCTATTGAACAACTTGCTTCTTCTCAATCTTTCAAGATGTCAGATTGGCTGCTTCCATAAGAAAATCTTCATCCGCTCTCTGTTTGCTCTTTTCTAGCTTTCCCAGATGTTTCTGATCATCACTAAGACACTATAAGTCTTGCAGGGTGAATTGAAATCGAACCGAATAACATCTATCCTCATTTGCGTCAGCTTAAGCCCCCAAAACAGGGCATCCGTCCAATGAGAATGGTTATGAGCCACAGTATTCAGCATTTTACATTTCACTTTGACTCCCTTCGGTTGGAAGAAATAATGTAGCAATCAAGAGGCGCAACAGGATGCAGGACGAGCATATAATGGCAGATGTCGGCAACCCTATGATCGTCCGTCATAGACGACAGAGGCATCTAGCACGGGAGAAAAGTGGAGAAGGAGCCTCCCTTTGGGGAAGCCACTCCACTTCTGACCAGCCCCTCAATAACAATGGCATGAAAAGGTTATCAGGTGACTGTATTAAGCATGCAGATCTTTTGCCGCAAAAATATCATGGCCCCATTCTCTCAGCTTTTATCACCATTCTTCCGATGTTCTTGTTGACATATTTCACCGGTCCAACATATACATGCTTGCCTTTGGGAAAGTAGTAGAGAAGCGAGATGCTAAGAACACCTAGATAAATGACCACACTCCAGTTCATGCCGCTCGGGATCGGGTGGGGCGTCGGAGGGAAGAAGATCATGATGTAAGCCAGTAGCACAAACAGAATCGCGGTGACATTGATGACGAGACCGAATCTTCCCAGGCTAAAATATGATGTCAACAGTGGCTCCTTGCGGATTCGCTTCAGGGCGATGCAAGAGATCGAAACCAGATAGGATGATAGCAGCGCGCACAAGCCGAGGGAGGTGATCTGGTTGAACGCGATTGTGGAGCCAATGTTGATCACAGAAAGGGCTGAAGCGATGGCGGTCGTTGTGATCACGGCGTTCAAAGGAATGCCCCAACCTGCTGGGACCTGTAGCACAAATCAGAGGGGATGTCTAATGGACGTGAGATCATCCTGGCGGGGGAACGCTTACGCTGGAAAAAAACCCGCTAAATGGAACACCTTGATCACGTGCAAAGGCAAACAGCTGACGGGATGCGGTCGCCATATTTGTCATTCCGCCAACTGTTGCCAAGACTATCAGGATTGAGGTCATGGCGGTAGCACCTCCTGTTGAGAGTGTAGCGTTGTAGAAGACTTGAATGAATGGATAGCCAGTTGGAGTCGAAAGGATGCTGCCAACATCGCCCAAGCAAAAGCAGAAGGTAATGAGCATGACAAAACCTAAAGCACCATTGAATGCAACGGTCGAGATCATCGCCCTAGGGAGTGTTTTCGAAGCATTTTTGAGCTCTTCAGACATGTGTGTTGCCGCGTCCGAGCCAAGAAGAGAGACAACAGGAGCAAGTATTCCGACGAGACAGGCAAGCCCAGTACTGCCCCAGCCACCTCCATCATTAAATTGAGTGAAGACTGCACTTCCCTCAGAGCGCGGAGCGAGGACCCAAAGTGGGATGATGATAGCGAAGAAGCCCGAGATGTGGAGAATTAGTATAAGACTTTCGACTAAAGGTAGTCGCTTAGCAAGAAATGTATTAAAAACCCCGCAAAACCCGATGACGGCCATAGTAAGCAAGGTACCGTGCCAGCGTTGGTAGACATAATCAGGACGATTGAGAACGAGCAGGCCCTGAATCTCAGTCCCGGCCAAGAAACAGGCGGACCCAGTACCAGCTTGCCATCCAAGAACACAGAGCCAACCTAGTAGGCCGTCAGACTTAGACCGTGTCAAGTTTGTGAGCCGGACTATACCGATCAAGTAGCTGAGAAATTTCTGAGCCCTGGCAGGTGCAAACTGAGCTACATTAGTTACTCGTTGGAGTGCGAGATGATCGAGAGCAGACCTCTGACACCCAATGATATTGACCTCCTGCAGTGGGAGCCCTGTGCAAAAGATCTCAACATGGGGTCGGAGATTTGCGCGTTATGCCGCGTACATGGAAGCCATTTCGGCCATCGAAATGGTGATGGCCGCGAAACCGACCCAAGAACCAATATAGACATATATCATACCCGCAGTTCCTCCGTTCAGGAGACCGAAGGTGCCTACACTATTTGTCGAACGTCAGATTAGCATGCGACAAGATGCTAGTCTAAGGTGCCCTCTTGCTCACCCCAACTGGGCCTCCCAAGTACTCATGAGAATAATAGAGAATCCGAATATAGAGAAGAAACTAAAATTGCGCTGAATTTCATCTGTCAGTGCGCCCAATATTTAGCTCTTCATGGTGAGCCTGACCCGCAAGGTTTGCTGTTTTCCCATACGCTCCATGTCCAACGTGTCACTGGGCGTCCCATATTTCTCGATCGAGCGAGCATGTCTACCACCCTCTACTTCGCTTTTCAGTACTGATGGATCCATCTTGTCTGAGGTTCTCTCTTGGAACTTTCTCTGTCCTAGAGAAGGAGGGTGACCAGCAAAGGATGAGAATATATCAGTATGGAGGGAACACGAGGAGCACAAAGGAAAGACCAATAGCGATCTAGCGATATGCATGACCCCACCAGGACCCTCGCGTTCAGCCATTGGCCGCTGAACTTTACTTATCTTGCTTTCTACTCTATCTGAGAACGGAATGCGTTCGGGGCGGTCCATTCGCGGCGGTCCATTCGGCAAAGGTCCATTCGGCGTTTGGGTCTTGGCGGGTTTTACGTCATACAAATTACTAGTAGATTTGCCCATCATGACCATTTAAATAATATGAAGATTTGACAAAGAGACCACGCCATTTATTGATGCTCTGAGGACTTCTCTTTTGGGAAATAGATATAGAAACGTGGTGTTGCAGAATAGCTCTATTGCTTGGCCCCTCTGCCTGCTTCGTTTCTGCCCTTCCTTGTGCCCCGTTTTGGCGCCTTTTCGGCCTCTAATGCCTTCATTGTGGGGGCTCTCTTGCGGCCAGCTCTTGATTGCGTCATTGCTGCTGGTGCCGTTGAAGGAGGGGGTATAAAAGCTTCCTCTTTTTCTTCTTCTTCTTCGTCCGGAGTTGGGAAGGACCGACGAACTGGGGTGGTGGCGGCGGCGGCGGTGGCGACAGAAGTAAGGACGGCAGCAGCTGCGGACTCCTAGGGGAAGGGAGGAGGAGGAGGAGGAGGAAGAGGTCCTGCGGAGGGTGTTGGCCCTGTTACAAACAAAGCTGTAAGGGCTATATTAGCTCCCTAGCGTGTCTCTTGAGCAGCAGCAGCAGCCTGTTCTTTATAATTAGCGTCACGTTCGGCTGCTTCAGCTCCTGTTATTAGTCGCTTGTTGGTCTTATTATGACTCTTAAACTGCCTATTCTATCCTGACTTCTTAACCGCATCTGGCATTCAAGTATTAAGATCATCTTCCTTAAGCTCTTGAGCGAATTTAACTAGACCCTGTTAGGCATTTGTAGCTGCTTAATTATATTGTGTACAAGCATAACCTGTAAGGTTCTCTCTTGCCTCTAGAACTTGTAACCCAAGCCCTGTAATCTGATTCTTATTAGGAGAGATATAAGGGTACTAAAAAGGAGCGGCAAAATATTGCAAAGGGGATATTAGTAGGACAAAAGCACAGTATATTAGCACCTACCTAGTAATATGAATAGGCTTACTATTAATCTATTAATAAGGGTATATTAAGGATTAAGGAATACGGGCGTCATCCTTAAATAGCTACGCAAAATAATGCTTACAAGAGAGGCCAAACTAAATAAGTAACTCGCATTCAGAGCAAGAGGGCTTAGAGCGTAAAGAGCCTTTATTTATCTTGTCTTTTGTGGCCTCCTATTCAGGAGATATCTTTAAAATAGCAAAAAGCGATATAGTATCTGTTAGCAGTACAAATGCTTTTGAATCAAGTGTACAAGGTAACTGTTACGGCACAGAATGCCCTATGTCCTAGAGAGGCGTTAGGGCAGGGCATGGCGTTGGCCAAGCATTGGCTGTGCGCCAAATGCTCCACAAGTGCTATGCCGCATCCGGCCTTAGGGCTAAGGGCTAGGGCACGCTTGGCGCCCTGCGCGTCATATCTCTATCCTCGCCTCCATAGCACTTAGATAGTTCATCCATCTTCATACTAATCAGTCATACAGTTGCCTTCTATAGCTTCTTTGTAACTCTCCGCTATTCCTATAGCACCCCCATACCCTGTTGCACAGCGTTCCGCGTAACAATTGGTGGACACGCCGGTGAACGCTTAATTGCGGGCGCCACAGCTACTCTGCCTACCCTCGAGCTTCGTCAAGGCCTATCCTTCGAAACTCAACCTCCTCGAGTCTGTAAGGTATCCCTGTAGCTCACTGATAACCTGCTAGGCTAGTTCCTTGCCTTAAGTAGCTCTACCTGTTCAAATCCTCGAAATTTCGATCTAGATACCCTTGTTGAAAGCCTCTTGATAACCTGACTTTACTAACAAGTCCGAGGCTCTCACCACTAAGCCTCCTGCCTTCCCCTCCTTCAAGTAACTCGACGCTGCCCTCCTTGACGCCTACGCACAAGATAAGACTCGCTTGGCATCTAGAAGTCGTGTAAATCCTTGAAACAGGCTAGTCCAGTTTGTCCCTACTAGTTGTTCGTCAGGCAGCATAAATATAAGTCTTACAGAGCGCTTGTGTATATAGTACGACCTCTTCTTTCTTGCGACTCTGTTATAGGTTACTTTCTACTTAGAACTAAGGGTACAACTAAGGAAACAGATACAGAGGAAGAAGTAAAAAATATAAGTAAGTCTATATAACCCTTTATAGTTATAAATTTATAACTCTTTAAAGAAGTAATAAAATAAATAAATACTGTCACGTGTCACGTTGGAAGCAGGCGACGAGTGCGCGAGATCTTCAGCCCATGTTGAGTGCTATCCTAAGACTGCAGAGCCGACGAGGATGGCACTGGGGTCGCTCCTATATAGCGAGCATGCCCCTTACTAACGCGTAGTGCCAATCAATCCCCGGCGGCCCTAGCGCTAGCGGCCGACAAGCATGGCAGCCGTGACAATTACTATTATAAAATTAAATA